GATTGTCTCCTGCACTTTAAAAAGCACAGGGAGTTTGAACAACAGGATTTTAAAGTTCTGTATTATCTTCAGTAAATGTGCCTTGGGGAGGGGAAGGATGTTAATCTCATTGGTGGTATGTAATTTTAGAAGTCATGGCATTAAGTTACCGCCTTCTCTGTCTACCCCACAAAATACCCTTGCAAAGAGAGATAAGTGATCATTGTCCTCTAGAGAAGCACTAAACAAGAGAAAGAGCGTTGCATGGTATTGTATAAGTAGTCAATGTTTTGCCAGCACCAAATGTCCTCACATTCTTATAGATCCTATAATACCACATTCCTCCTTGCTTTTGAAACCAAACGCACACAACTTCACTTTTACCTAAACAAAGAGTGCCATGAAACAGTAGAGGTTAAAACTGGGTGTGATCCAGCAAAATTGACTGCACTTATGTTTCAGTTAAGTAATTTGAATTCAAACTTGAGGATAAATACCGAGCTCCTTCAGTTTCAGTGTAAGTTTGGAGTGTTCCAACTTTTGCTGCATAGTACAGATTGGCTCAAAATCACACACTTCGAAACAGCCTTTTGTGTGCCTAGCTGATGTGTTTCTGTTTACGTATTCCCATCAAGTTGAAGTCCCTTAACCTACACCTAAAACTTAACGAGGAAGATGCTGGGCAGACCTGACTGGGGAAGACGTTTCATAAAGCTTCCAAAGGCATCATCTGAAAGTCCATGGTGCATCAGTCCTGATGAAGCTAAGAAGGTCTGATTATGGTCATTGCATGGATGAGAAACCATTTAGGAACTTCCCAGCATGCCAGCTTCAGCTGCATGGTGCAAGAAACCATGTATGTTGAGTGACGCCTAACGACATAATGATTTGCCCACAACTATGGCTGGTTTGGACCCATAATGTTCAGGCCAACCATGCAGCTGGAAAGGACATTACTTTCAGGAGGGGCAGGGCCGGCCCTATGATGGGACAGAATGAGGCAGCTGCCTCAGGTGACAGATGCTGAGATGCAGGGACTTGCCAGAGCTGTGAGTGTTCCCTGCCCTGTGCCCCCTGCACTAGCCCAATGCCCTCAAGTACAGTGGAAGACACTTTTTTCACCAGTACTGGAGTGGAATTCAACTACCAGTCCCATCAGCTTCCATATGTGTCATGGTGAAGGGCACCATCTTGCCCTTTGTCTCAGGCAGCAAAATGTCCGGAGCCTGGTGGAGCTGATTGTCCCGAGAGAAGAACTCTTAATTTTAGCAATCTAATAGCTTTTGGTTCCCCACTTCTTGTCTTATCAAGATGACATATAACTGCATCACCACGACAGTGCAGCTGCTTGTGGGCGATGGGCATTGCATGTAATTAAGGAAGCATGTTGCTTTTGCCCAATGCAAGCCAGATCCATCTAACCCCGCTAATAAACTTTTCCCTTTCCCTCATTCGGTTAATCAGCTTTTGCTTTCCTCGCTCACGGGAGTCTGAAATTCAGCTGCGACACCTCCGAGCACAGAGCCCTTGTTATTAAACTGCAGGGGATGCAATCAGAGAAGTTAATGCCTTGGTAATTCTCCTGATCCATGCTGTTATCTTCCAAAATCTTTTGAGAGGATGCTACCTGCCTGAGGAGCACTGTGTGCCGTGGTTATTCCACGTCGCAAAGCACCTTTGAGACTTGGAATGTTTAGGTATAACTCTATTATTATGTATTTTGAGATGAGTTAAAGAGGAGCCATTCGTGCTTTGTGAAAGAATCAGGAAAGGGAAACTTGGAAAGGATCAGTTTTGTGTTCTGCACCAGCTGCACACAGATGAGCTTGGCATGGCCAGTAGGGGATGCTGTCTGAGCATCTTCCTCTCTCTCTTGAAAAGAAGAAAAAAATGGTAGGAGAATAATGTCTTTCTCTCCTTCCGCTGGAGAAGCTAAGGAAAGCCTTCTTTCCTAGGCTGGATATGTCCGTTTAAGCAAAACAGAGGACAATGTTTTAGGAAGACGCCAAAGACAAAAGGCAAGGAGAGGAATGATTTAATATGTCCTCTTGCTAGAACAGTTTTTGGAAGCTCTTCCTGTGGAATTCAACTGAATGTTCACATGTCAACTGCGGCACGTAAGGTGATTAGATATAATTTTTGTCAATCAGTTTGACACATCTCTCTCTCCCCCCCCCGCTTCCCGCGACAAGGAATGAAAAGCTGGTGCGTGAGCCGCTCAGAAAGGCAGTTGAGCGCCGTGAAGTGAATCATAAGTAAACGTGGGATCAGGGCAGAAGTTGCTGCAGCATCTCACATCTTTGTGGCTCCAGAACATGGGCCAGGGTGCAGGAACCGCAGCTGCGCAGAGGTGGAAGTGAGTTAACAATGGCCGCAGCTATTTTATTTAGGGTGCTTATCTCCTGCTATATAACCTCGAGAGGCTTACAAAAAATTATCACAATAAAAATTATAATCCCAGTGACTGGATTGCTCAAGTGGTGCCTTCATGTTTGCTCTTCGATTTTGTTCCCCGAGGTGAAGGAGGAGGAATGAATAGCTCATCAGCCCATGATGGAGGTAGGTCTTTTTCTGTGGATACCTGCCAGTTGCCAGGCAACAGCTCCTGCTGAGCTGAGGTCCTCTAAGACAAGGCAGTGGGGCTGTTCCTGGTCACAGCTCACAGAGTCTGCTGTGGCAAAGGACACGGATCCAGGTGCAGGACGTCCTGATCACTGACCAATACCATCCTCTCAGCCTATGTACAGGGATACCGTCGATATGAGCGGCAGGACTCATAGGCCCGACATGATGTCAATTCTGTGACCTGTGTTTGTGCAGGGATGCAAACTTCTGAGTTGGGTCGGGTCGCTGAAGTGATACCCCAAGATTACATATGGGTTGCATATACCCACTGGGAAACCTGGAGCCCAGACCCATTTTTTTCTGCTGTGGACCTGGCAGCCCAATAATTCCAGCACAATTTAGATTGTGTGGCATGCCTTAAGCTCTTCTTTCTCCAGCTCCCAGTAGAAGCTTACCTTCTGTTTGTGTGACGGGTCTGGAGAACATCCAGAGGATTTTGAAATCTCATTTACTGAGGGTCCCCAGATGGGCCTTCCTACTGTTTTAACTCTCAAAGAGGCATTGCATTGCCGAAAAGGTAGACTCCTGTGACAGACTGGGGCCCTTTTAAGGCTCCCTCAAAGCAGCAGAACAGTGGGGAATAAGACTCTCTCACAAAAGTTACTTATTTACTGAACCAAAGAGTTGAGGGGGGGAAGAAGCCACTCTAGTGGGTTGAGGATCTAGACTTCAGGTGGGGAACCTTTTTTCTTTAAGGGCTGTTTTCTCTCAGGGTAATCTCTCAGGTGTTGCATGCCAGGAGTGTGGAAGGCCGGAGCAAACAGTGGGTTGGGGCAAAGCAAAAAGTGAATGGATGCTCTCTTGCTGCCTCTGCCTTTGCTATGTTGCCCCCTCCGTTGCACCCAGATGAAATAAGGGTGAGGGTTGCAGGTTGCACCATTCTTGTGCACCACTGTCTAAATACCAGGAGTCATTCAAATGTTTTAGATATGCCATCATCATACTCAACCTCATAATCATGTACTTCTGTGTTGAGGCCCTGAAAAAATGGCACCTGGCATGAATTCTGCTCAGATTGATGCTGTGGAGGATGCTAATACAACACCCTGGGTTGGATCTAGACCAGTGTTTCCCAAACTTGGTTCTCCAGCTGTTTTGGGACTACAGTTCCCATCATCCCTGACCACTGGTCCTGCTAGCTAGGGGTGATGGGAGTTGTAGTCCAAAAACAGCTGGAGACCTGAATATGGGAGACACTGATCTAGATTAGCTTCCCTGTAGTTAGTTCCTATTGAAATCATAGAAATTAAGCCGTGACTAACTTGTCCCATAAATCTCAGTGGGTCCTAACTTCAGCTAACTGGATCCAATGAATAGGTTGCAAATTCTCAGGATCGTTGGTTCTGTGTAGGAGCAAGCTTAACATGCTTCATCTGAAAGCTTCTTCCATGATTGAGAAATAACAGGATTTGAACTAGTTCTGGCTATGAGTAATTTAGTATACGACTGGCAGACTCTACCCATTCATTAATCTTTCCAGCAGCACTGAAAGTTAACTTTTGCTTTGTTCAGAAAAAATCTAGGTCTCGGAAACGTCCTGCATAGCTTCCACAGAATTTGACCACACAATTGTCATAATAGGAATGAGCTATAAATAGGGATGTTCAATCTCGAGCATTAACTACTAGGCATCCCTCCATGATACATTAACAGAATCTTATATTTTTAAGGCTGCAAACCTACCCACAGAGCTTCTTGGTATGCACGCATACGATGGGTCCATAAGACTGATTTTGTATAGTAGCTACAGATTTGCCAGTGTGGTGCCTGCAGCAAGCCAGTATTCCTATAATACCCTTTCCTGTGAAAGGCTATCAAGAGTAAAAATCCACAATGCCTGAGAGATGTGTTTGCTCTACCTGCTCAGTTCCTGTCTGCAATGACTCAGACTCTCCTACACTGAACATACACCCTTAAACATGCCAATATTTCATTGTATGCCAGGTTTGAACATCCTCACTCCTTTTCTTTCTGGACAGAGCAGAGGTATAAAGAGCTTCTATCCATGATCGAGGTGGGTCTGATTCAGTTGCCTCCCCGCCCCACATCAACAGAGGCAGCTTCAGGGCCAGATTTAGGTTTGATGAGGCCCTAAGCTACTGAAGGTAATTGGGCCCTTTATATGTCCAGCTGTAATTTGTCAACAGCAAATTGTTGCTGTTTTTTGTGTTGAATATATGCTATATGGTAATTTATGGACCTAATAGGTATCTAAAGCCATTTGCACATAACAAAATAAGCATTGTATCAAAGTAATTGTTATAGAAATGAGCAAACCAGTGATATTTTAGGGAGCAGGCGAGCAGGCGGGGCCCATTACTTACATCATAGGAGCCTACACAACACAAAACACTTGCTGTATGTAGATTTTATTTTATTTGTTTTTTATCTTGTATGTCGGAAATGTACATCCAGCTTTCCCCCCATAATTTGTTTGGGGCCCCCAAGAGAGTGGGGCCCTAAGTGGGCTATAGCTTGTTTAGCTTATACGTAAATCTGGCACTGCTGAGGCAGCTGATGCCCAGACCATTTTGGGTTGCTGTTCTCCTCCCTGTCTCTAATATGGCAGCCATTTTGTGTTAAGCCATACACACAGGGCAGAAAACTTGAGATGATGGCTCATCTACACATGGAATGTATTCCTTGATGCTGTGGCCATTAGAGAGGTAAAATTGCACCAAGGCAAGCTGCACATATGAAGAGCAACATGTATTGAAATGGCAGCATCTCATATTTTAGTGTGAGTTGTGACAAACTTGCAAAAAGGTCCACCGCTCCTGTACACAACCCAGTGCTTTTTTCTGGGGAGTACACAGGGGTACGCATACCCCTAAACATTTTGTGAATCTAAGTTTGGCCTCATTGAGGAGCAGTATTTCAATATGAGTAGGAAAATGAGAGTACAGTGGTACCTCGGGTTACAGATGCTTCAAGTTACATACGCTTCAGGTTACAGACTCCACTAACCCAGAAATAGTACCTCAGGTTAAGACCTTTGCTTCAGGATGAGAATAGAAATTGTGCTCCAGCGGCATGGCGGCAGCGGAAGGCCTCATTAGCTAAAGTGGTACCTCAGTTAAGAACAGTTTCAGGTTAAGAGCGGACCTCCAGAACGAGGTAAATTCTTAACCCGAGGTAAACTTTTTAAAAAAAGAAAAAAAGCACTGTTACAACCCATATTGGAGGTAAAGGGATCTTTGCAAGATTCTAGAGAATCATCTTGAAGCCGTAACACTAAATGTCAGTACATGTACAGATATTTTCTCTCTCAGAGACTACAGATATGCAATTGATCATGTAGTACTGGAAATAATGGGAGTTTTGTCAATCCGTTGCAGAAGATACAGGATTAAAGGAAATGATGTATGTTGGTACCTACACAGAGAAACACATAGAGGTGACATCCACACTGCATATTTAAAACACATGCTTCAAAGAAACCTGGGAACTTTAGTTTGCTAAGGATTCTGGACATTGCAGGTCTGTAATGGGGTAAACTACAGTTTCCAGGATTATTATTTGTGTGTGTGTGTGTGTGTGTGCTTTACATGTATGGTGTGGATGTGATCACAATCTCTTGTCACATTATTATTTTAAAATAAAATAGGAGACTTGAATGTGGCCCCTTACTCCAGGCACAGACCCTCCAGGTCTCCCTATTTTCCAGGGATAATCCTGGATTTACAGAAGTTGTCCCGGTTTCCGATTTGATCCTGCAATATCCTGCTTTTCCTTAGAACGTCCCTATTTTCATTGGAGAAATCTGACCTCCCTGAACCATCTCAAGGCAGTCCTGTAGAGGGAAGCTTTAAAACGTTTAATGCTCTGTTATGTTTTTATATATGTTGGAAGCCACTAGAGCAGCTGGGGCTACCCAGTAAAATGATCGTGGAATAGGATGTTCCTATTTTCATCGGAGAAATGTTGGAGGGTATGCAGAGGTGAGGGGATAAATCTTGTGTGACACTTGTTTTAGGAAAAGGAGAAAAAAAAAATAGAATCCTTGTTTTCCATAGCTGTATGTTAAATATGCAGAGCTACTTACTCAGGATCATCCAAAAGATAAGGCGTCTAATCCTGAGTGCGTACTTTTTTCTTGTTGGATCAGATTTATTTTTATTTATTAGGGTTATATCTGGCCCCTTCTCCCAAAGGAGCCCAGGCCAGCAAACAACAAGCAACAGAACCATAAAAACATCTTAAAAACTATTCCAATACATAGCATAGACAAGAAGGTGCTGTTAGAATCTCAGTAGGTTGATAAGTTTAAAAGTAGAGAAGTAAAAAAAGGAAAAATTACTTCCCTGGGTGGCAATCAATGCTAATTACAGTCCTGTTATCTGCGGAGCTCCAAAGCCTGCTTGCTAAGCCGTCGCCATCTTGGAACTTCAGCTGCTGGTTTTGTGCTCGTTTTCCAATACAGATGTTGGACAATACAGACCACAGTTTTAAAAGAAGGTGCCAAGTTAACACCAGAGATGAAAAGGGTAAAGGGACTCCTGACCGTTAAGTCCAGTCATGGACGACTCTGGGGTTGCAGTGCTCATCTTGCTTTACTGGCCGAGGGAGCCGGCGTTTGTCCGCAGACAAGCTTCCAGGTCATGTGGCTAGCACAACTAAGCCACTTCTGGCGAACCAGAGGAGCACACGGAAACACCGTTTACCTTCCCGTTTACCTATTTATCTACTTGCACTTTTGAAGTGCTTTCGAACTGCTAGGTGGGCAGGAGCAGGAGCCGAGCAACAGGAGCTCACCCCGTCGTGGGGATTTGAACCACTGACCTTCTGGTTGGCAAGCCCTAGGCTCTGTGGTTTAGACCACAGCGCCACCTGTGTCCCACACCAGAGATGGTGCCTGTCTAATATTCAAGGTGAGTGAACTCCAAAGGTCAGGTGGCACAACACTTAAGCCCAGATCAACATGAGACCCACTAGATCAAAATCCACTTAGTACATTCTTTGCAAGAATCCTAGAAACCAGCAAGCATTTAATTGGTCTACCAGAAATTAAGTTATGGATTAGCTATCAACAGACTACATGATCTTGACCTCCTGCCTATTTCGGCAGTTCAGATTGTGCAGGCAAGCATCATTATGCAGCAGCTCAGAGAGGATAATAAATGTTAGGTTAAAGATACATTTAGCACGGTGAAGACTCTTTGTGCAGAGGTATTCAGCAAATATGAACCTCGGTGATGGAACACTTTGGACAGATACCTAAACCACCCAGAGATTTCTGCTCAGATATTTTCACAGCTCTGGCAGCCCTAAACGAGGTATTCTAAATTTAGAGATACTTAACTGACCTTGCAAGCCCCTCAACAAGGAGCTATTCAGCCTACAGGAATTGCAAGAAGCATTTAAAGCACTTCTGCAACTGGAGCAGTTCTGCTGACAAATATCGCAGTTGCCATAAATGGTGTCCCTAAGTGAATACCCGCATAGACTGCATGTTCAAGCTTCTTTGAAATTCAAAATCTATCAGTTGGTGGATGTAAGCACGGATGAAGGTGATTATTAAGCACATGCTCCAATTTCTTTTTTACTTCTCTGTTAAATGTAACTATTAGGTCAGGATATTTTAGCTACTTGTTTCTATCTGCTGGTCTGCAGCAGGAATTAGGAATTTGGGACCATCTAGATATTGCTGAACTACAGTCCCCATCATCCATGGTCATGCTACCTGAGGCTGATGGGATCTGTAGCCCAGGAACCTCTGGAGGGCCATGGGATTCTCTTCCCTGGTCTATAAACATTCCAGACTGCATTCACTGCACTAGCTAACTCTCCAAGTCGCCCTATTTTCCAGGGACAGTCCCAGATTTACAGAAGCCATCCCAGTTTCTGATTTGATCCCAGAATGTCCTGCTTTTCCTTAGAACATCCCTATTTTCACTGGACAAATGTTGGAGGCTATGGAGTTATGCAACCCTCAAGCCAAGGAGATAAGTAACTATACAACCTTGAGAAGACATCTGAAGGCAGCCCTGTATAGGCAAGTTTTTTAATGTGTAATGTTTTACTATGTTTTTATATATGTTGGAAGCCACCAGAGTGGTTGGCGCAAACCAATCAGCTGGGCAAGGTATGATGATGATGATTATAGAATAGGATGTCCCTATTTTCATTGGAGAAATGTTGGAGGGTAGGGAGTTCTCTGACCTCCGAGCCAAGGAGATAAGTAACTATACATTTAGAAAACATCTGAAAGCAGCCCTGTACAGGGAAGTTTTCAAATGTTTAATGTTTTATTAAACCCAGTCAGATGGGCAGGGTATAAATATAAATATAAGAATAAAAATAAGAATAAGAAATACTTCCTTATTTTCGTCAGAGAAATATTGCCGGGAATGCACTAAGCAGAACTTTGCTTATGACAAGTAGGTGGGGCTTAAGCTTGCTGCCTTTGAAACAGAAGTTTGCTAGAGTTTTGCTGCTATGACTGCTTCTGTATCTATTTTTGAAAAGGCATCTGAGTTCAATTCACAGGTGTTTGTGTCCCTTCTAAGGCATGTTGCAGTTCACCTGATAGGTTGTGTGGATTCGAGCTGGCCTGGCCAACAAGTCATTCCACATCATTACCGTATTTTTTGCTCTATAAGAGGCACCAGACCGCAAGATGCACCTAGTTTTTGGAGGAGGAGAACAAGAAAAAAAATATTCTGAATCTCAGGAGCCAGAACAGCAAGAGGGATCGCTGTGCAGTGAAAGCAACAATCCCTCTTGCTGTTCTGGCTTCTGTGATAGCTGTGCAGCCTGCATTCGCTCCATAAGATGCACACACATTTCCACTTACTTTTTAGGAGGGAAAAAGTGAGTCTTATAGAGCAAAAAATACTGTAACTGGCTAACTCGCAAAGGCACAGGCTTGTGCAAATAGAGCATAGACCTAACTGGGAAATATTTTACACCTTTTCAAAGGTTAGGCCTGATGGCTAGCTTGAGGATTAGCCAAATTAATCCAGGGGCAGTATAGCCCTACTATATGAGCACACAAATTGCCCCAGATTTTGGAGTTTCAGACAGGGTTTTGATCTTCCAGCCAAACCAAGGGGATCATGCATGAATAGTGCTGCCCCAGCTTTGCATTTACCATCTATCTCTCTAGAGTGAAACTTTAAAGAAGCAAAAGCAATCCACCTCCTACTGTATGGCTGCATTTATTTTCTGCCATGTACCTTTCTGCCCGCAGCCCCTTTAATATCCCCAGAACACCACAGGTCATTCACTTCGTGTCTGCTGCTAGTTGAAAGTAAAGGTGAGGATGTTGCATGCCTGCACCCTACAAAGGATTTTGCTCTGAGCTTTCGAATGCAAATTGCTGTCTGGTGTGTGCGCATTGCACACACGCAAGGAAAATAAATAGAGTTGGGAGCTCTGGGTGTTAAATCCACAGCTGGGGGTTTGGCTTCCCAAGTCTCCACATATGTTTCCAGTTACGATAAGCATGTGCTGAGATATCATTAACTATCTGGTAGACAAACACACGCACACATGCTAATAGTCTTCTTGCTGTTTGTGGAGCTCTCGGTGGAGTTACACTTCATAAACACCTTTGCAAAAGCAACAACAACAACAACAACAAAGGCCATTGATGCCATCTAAAATAAATTAGGTAAGGCTGCAATGTACCTTTCTTCTTCATCAGCTGTTCAGGCACCAGCTCAGAGGAAATTTGGAAGAACTCCTGGGGCGGGGAGGAAGGGAAAACACTTGTCACTTCTATTATGGCAATTGTAAGGGATTGTTTGAGACTCTCAGCTCGGCAGCCTCTTGGGAGCCTTATCTCTATGAACAGAACAAATGTATCATCCCGAGATAATGAAGAAAGTGGTGCTTCTGGTCACTTGTGTGTCAGGTGTTTGGGGGGAAATTTCAGCTTGACACTGACATAGCCAATTATTCCCAAAGAATGATGAATTTGGGGTGTCTCCGAACCGTCACTAGAATTGGCAGGAGAAACGACTTCTCCTTTCTCCTCGGTGATTAATGGTCTTTGGATCAGGATCGGTTATTTGTTTTTGTCGAGTGACTGCTTTACAAGTACTCGGAGCACCCTATTTTAGATTAGATCATATCATTTAGGTTTCTTTATTTCATCAGTCTGATAATCTGCAGCCACCTTCTGTATGCCGGCGTGTTTTCGTGCCGCTTCTGACACCAAGGTGTACAAAATTAGGCAAGGCAGCTTGCAGATAAGTGGAGAACAGGGCAGGGGGAGAAGATCACCTGTGGCCAAGTGGATTGGCTGTCCTTCAGTTTATGAGCTCAGAGAAAAATGCATGCAGGTAAAATAAACAGGCACACACTCATTTTTCTGGCTTGGAGCTCCAAAGTTTGCTGTCATTGGCTGTAATGAATGGATCTTCAGGAGCACTTTCAGCCTGCAACATTTCTAGAGCTGTCAAGACAAGGCATGCCTGGGTGGAGCACTCATAAATTGGTCTAACAGTGATGGAAGCGAAGATCCGAGGAAAAGCAACCAAACAGATATGCTTGGCTGAAAAGGAAAGCAATGAATTTGTAATCAGGATTGCGTGTGCCGCTCCATGCTTAAACATTCAAATTTCTGCAAAGTCCACCAACTGGTCTTTGGGAAATGAAACTTTTTCATCTTGTCTCTCAAAGCATCCGGGATGTCTCCAATGTTTTCATTAGATCTTGATGGTTTCTTTGGTATCTGCTTTCCGCAATAGGTTTTTGCGGCATTGCTATGAGATCATGTTTTGCTCGCTTCCAGCTGTTACCTGCGGTCCGCAGGTGAACTCTGTGGATGTCCAGCTGCCAAATTGGAATGTGATTTACGAATGGCATCATAACACAGCACATTCTTAGTGCACATATCATATGCTGAATTTTCAAAAGTGATTCTCTTAGATGTGGGTAGCTGCAGCCCAATGGGAATTAAAAGCCTCGCTCAACTGCCGATTAGCATTTGTGCTAGGGATGGGAACATCTCTGGATGTTTTTTCTTAGATCCCTAAATTGCTAGATACAGACATTTATTGCTTTGTTTAGCTTTTTAAGAAGACATCCTCTCCCCCTCCCCGCCTCTTAATTTCAGATGCCCTGTAGGTATGTGATGAGGGAGTTTTGTTGCTATGGTGATGGATGCTGCAGGGGAAAAAATCCTAGATGAAAATAATGTGCTCAAACACAGAGATTCAGACAAGTTTATAAAATTCGACCCTTTGGTGTCTAGGAATAGTGTTGCTTCACGTGTCAAAGAGCAGATCTCTTTGGAGACCATGTGTGCTTGTTGCCACACATGTGAAGAGAAAAACAAATGCATATTCTGCTGTGACTTCACAGTTTGGGAATCTCATCATAAAAAGCTTAGGAAGAAGTTAATTTTCTGCAAAGCAATAATGCTTATGTACAAAGGCTGCAGTGGCTGCAACCTTAACCTGGTTCCCCTATGCTGTTTTATAGGAGGTCACAGCACAGTGTGAGGTGAAGATAAGGTAAAAAAGGTAAAGGAGCCCTGAATGGTTAAGTCCAGCCAAAGGCGACTTTGAGGTGTGGTGTAAATCTTGCTTTCAGGCCTAGGGAGCCTGTGTTTTCCGGGTCATGTGGCCAGCATGACTAAACCGCTACTGGCGCAACGGAACACCGTGATAGAAACCAGAGCGCATGGAAACGCCATTTACCAGTTTGAATCCAACATGGCAGGCATGGAAGAGATGGGACCCCCCTGGAGTGTAATGCTAGACTAGGACTAGCCGCCTGAGAAACAGTTTCTACCCAAATGCGATTTTGGTTTTAAACGCAGTGTAAGGAGTCTCTATGGGAGTATATTGTATTTTAAAATGGGGTATCAGAGGTTTTAGGGGGCTAACCAGGTTGGGATAGCTGGGGTAGCAGGCTTGTTGGGTTTTGAATGTTTTATGTAGATTTTTCAATTTTGTTGTTCAGTATGGGACAACGACAATAAAGATTATCGTATTCCCCCCCTCCCCAGGCTCACATTGTATATATATACAGTGGTACCTCTGGTTACATACACTTCAGGTTACATAGGCTTCAGGTTACAGACTCCGCTAACCCAGAAATAGTACCTCGGGTTAAGAACTTTGCTTCAGGATGAGAACAGAAATCGTGCTCTGGCGGTGCAGCGGCAGCAGGAGGCCCCATTAGCTAAAGTGGTGCTTCAGGTTAAGAACAGTTTCAGGGTAAGTACGGACCTCCAGAACGAATTAAGTACTTAACCCGAGGTACCACTGTATGTGTGTGTGTGTGTAAATAAACCATATATCATTGGTTTATGCAGCACCCAAGGGAGCCCCCCCAGGCTGTCCTTTCATTAACTTCCAGCCCATATCTTCCTGCATTACCTCTCTCTCTCTCTCTTTCTTTTTAAATAATAATTTTTATCAGTTTTCAGTTACAATCCAACAATAGCCTCATTAGAACAATACAAATTCACAATACAATTATTAATACCAATCGCTCAAATACCGAACTATGTAATTTAGATAAACTGCCCCCCCATGCTAGAATTGATGGTTTGATTCACACCTTCCAAACCAACACATGAACTAAAACATAGCTATCCTTTGAAATCTGCACTTTCCCAGATTAAGTGATGCAGTTCTCCAGCCAAAACATGACTACAGGAGAGAGAGAGAATATATTAAGGGATAGCACACATATAGAATGCATATATTTCCCCTCTCTCTTTCTCTCTGAGGATCATTCAGGGGAGCCTGCAGCTTTAACTTGCATCTTTCCGAAATAAAGCAGAGGTTAAAAAAAGTGGGGAAATGCTTTTGCATGACTTCTTAAAATCTCCCTCTTCGCGCACAAACAAAAATCCTCCCCAGCTTCAGCAACTAACGGTCCCTTAGTTTTGCACAGAAGACTTGAGAAATGCACAAAAATTGTAAAGTAGCTTGATGGTCTGTGTCTGTGTACTCTATAAGGAGGGATTTGAAAATAATCCTGAAAGTGAGGATTGGCTTCTGAGTTTCTCTCTCCTTCTATCCTCAACATCGCCCTCTTCTTCTCTACCTCTCCCCACCAAGGTATATGCTATCCTCTTTAACACCCACCCAGATTTATGGAGACAGGGAGAATGTTGCGGAAAGGACCATGCCTGCACACATATCCTCTGTGTTTCTCAATTTCCTTCCCCGACATAACAAAATATTTCCGCTTCTGATCTTAATCTTGTTTTGACCTCTCCATCTTCCCTCCCACCCTGTGTGCACTGATTTCGGGAAAGGCAGGCGGCAACTGTCATGCTGAGTGCATCAGCTTTGCTCCGCAGAGTAGCAGCATTACTTGGGTTCCTGTTCACACATGCGCTTCCACTTATATGCGCACCAAAAAAAAAGCCAAGGGGGGGCTGAACACGGAACGGGAAAATCCTGGACTAGAGTGGCTTCCTTGGGAGAAAAGCAATGACAAACCTAGACAGCATCTTAAAAAGTAGAGACATCACCTTGCCAACAAAGGTCCGTATAGTAAAAGCTATGGTTTTTCCAGTAGTGATGTATGGAAGTGAGAGCTGGACCATAAAGAAGGCTGATCGCCGAAGAATTGATGCTTCTGAATTATGGTGCTGGAGGAGACTCTTGAGAGTCCCATGGACTGCAAGAAGATCAAACCTATCCATTCTTAAGGAAATCAGCCCTGAGTGCCCACTGGAAGGACAGATCGTGAAGCTGAGACTCCAATACTTTGGCCACCTCATGAGAAGAGAAGACTCCCTGGAAAAGACGCTGATGCTGGGAAAGATGGAGGGCACAAGGAGAAGGGGACGACAGAGGACAAGATGGTTGGACAGTGTTCTCGAAGCTACCAGCATGAGTTTGACCAAACTGCGGGAGGCAGTGGAAGACAGGAGTGCCTGGCGTGCTCTGGTCCATGGGGGCACGAAGAGTTGGGCACGAAGAGTTGGACACGACTAAACAACAACAAAGAGTGGCTTCCAAAGGGGAGCCACAGAAAGAATGTGATTGGTCAAGGGAGCTGCAGACTCAAAAAGGTTGAAAACCACTGCCTGAATGGCCCATTGCCCTGGCTATCACCTCACCAGGAAGCTAGTTTGGCAATATTTTAACATTTGCTGGATCCAGGAGTTGTAAGGGTTTCTGCATACAGCCTAATCCCTCCTCAACAAACTCATAACAATACAGTACCTCAGGTTAAGTACTTAATTCATTCTGGAGGTCCGTTCTTAACCTGAAACTGTTCTTAACCTGAGGTACCACTTTAGCTAATGGGGCCTCCTGCTGCCGCCACACCGCTGGAGCCCGATTTCTGTTCTCATCCTGAAGCAAAGTACTTAACCCGAGGTACTATTTCGGGGTTAGTGGAGTCTGTAACTTGAAGCGTATATAACCTGAAGCGTATGTAACCCGAGGTACCACTGTCACACACAAACAGACACACACTTTTATCACAGACAACAAGTACCATAAATCCTGTAGTTCTTTATGGGAGATTGAATAAGACTTTTTATGAGAATCATTTATATAGGGGTAAATTCTAGTGATGTAAATGATCTGGCTCACTATTTGCTATTTTGCAAATTATATTAAGCTCAGAGGGAAACTTGGTTCAATCAACTTTAGCTGTCTTTGGATAAACCTGTTTCTATGTTCAATGGATAAGAAAATGAACAGAAATATATCACAAAAGCCGTTCTTAAGTTTGAGTGCCAGGTAACAAGAGTAAGAAAATGTTTTATTGACTGTACAAATGATCAGCCTTTTTAAATATGGTTTTATTTGTTTTTACCAAAATTTTGGGTATAAACATAGTTTATAGTTTTTGGCGCTTGTTTTTGTTATGTTGATTTTGTTTTGGAAATTGCAATGGTCAGGGGAGCTTGTCAATAAAACGTTGTTTTCTCTGTGTAGTTAATATTTCTCTTTTGCCCTGAAGGACCTCGAGGAAAAGAAAAATGGTCCATATCTTCCTTCTGGAGGAATATAAAGGAGGCTTTGTACAAGAAAGATGAAGAACCTCTTTTAGACCGGAATGCATTGCTTGTGAATTGAGTAAGATAGAAATAAATGGAATATTGTAAATAGACAGTGGAGAAGAGGCACTTTAAAAACTGAATGTACATTCTAATCAATGCAGGTTTTTTCATTTATCCGACAGCTACTAGGAACTCAGGGGCTGATTTAAGTGTCACTTGTGAAAATGGTTATGGTTTGTACAGCTTCTGTACAAAGTGGGAGGGATCTAGGTGCGTGACCAGAAAATGAGTGGCAGAATTATTGTTGAGGAGCTTTGAAACACTGTTATCTGTGAGCTGGTGGTGGCTAGCTTAGAAATGAACAGGGATTTACAGGGGTTTTTCTCCCCCCCTCACAGTACTTACAGACTAGTGTTGTCTCTTGATATGTGGTCTGTGGCAGGCATTTTGCCACCTTTATCGAGATAGGGGAAATGGCACCTCCTTTTTTTAAACACCTCCCCCCAGTACTTGTATCTCAGCCCTGTATGGCTGTGCCTAAGGAACAGACGACCATCATGGTGCTCTCAAGATGTTACTGAATTGCAACTCTTATTGGTTCCAGAAAGCACAACTGGTGGTCAGGGGTGATTATGGCTTGACGACAATTTGAGATCACTCCATTGGGCACCCCTGATATTGAGCGTCAATAATGGTCACCGGCCAGCTGTTGTAAATGATACAGCATTTGCTGGGCTAGATTAGGGGGTATGCAGGCAGAGGGCCTTCTTGGTAGTGGCGCCCACCATATGGAATGCCCTCCCATCAGATGTCAAGGAAATAAACAACTATCTGACTTTTAGAAGACATCTGAAGGCGGCCCTGTTTAGGGAAGTTTTTAATGTTTGGTGTTTTTAATACAGTGGTACCTCAGGTTAAGTACTTAATTCGTTCTGGAGGTCTTTACTTAACCTGAAACTGTTCTTAACTTGAAGCACCACTTTAGCTAATGGGGCCTCCCACTACTGCTGCGCCACCGGAGCACGATTTCTGTTCTCATCCTGAAGCAAAATTCTTAACCTGAGGTAATATTTCTGGGTTAGTGGAGTCTGTAACCTGAAGCGTATATAACCTGAAGCGTATGTAACCCGAGGTACCACTGTATTCTGTTAGGAGCTGCCCAGAGTGGCTGGGGAAACCCAGTCAGATGGGCGGGGTATAAATAATAAACTATTATAATAATATTATTATGATGTACTCTTCCCACTTGCGATTCATACACATGCCACCTTTTACAGTGGAGACAGCACGTGCCTCTTTAGCTGCTGAGGAAGAGTTAACATTTATCTGGCTCCTGATACGCGTAGTTTGAGACTTCAAAGCAAAGGAAATAATTTGCTTTATGTTCCCAACTGGCTCTAATCTCACTAGGCCCACTAGAAAAACAACAGGGAAATGGAAGCGTAGCATGATTGACAGTTTATATACTCGCTTGCTTGCTCTGAAGCACATTGACCAACCTAGAGATGGTGAAGTCTAAATTGACTTTTCAACACTGATGAACAGTAAGGGGGTAATGGGAGGAAATATTACATCTTAATTGTCATTCTCGGCTGGGATCAGCAAATCTGATTCATCCTTGGGCTATTACTGTTTACTAAGTCTCGAGGCCCCACTGTAATTATTTTCTTAAACCCAGAGCACATTGTCTGTGACAAAGAGAAAAATCGTGCCGGTAGACAAGGGATCTCATTGCTCTCCCTGCCACTCATGTGCTCACCAACTTCATTGTTGACTGTCCAATCATCAGCCTGCGTGGCTGTGGCTGTATCATTATTTTCGGGGGTTTCGAAGCTGCTTCTAAGGGTGAATTACAGTTTGATAACAATCACTTTAGAATTCTCAACTTCTCTTTTCTACACACCACCTCTATGATTGTGGGAATCACTGCAATGACTTATGCTGCAAAGTAAGAGTAGAAATTCGAGGTAGATTTACCTATCTGCTAATTCTTCTCAAACTCTAGGTTAGGTGAAAATTCTCTCTCTCTCTCTCTCTCTAATGCACACTGCAGTCCTATGAATAATATGAGCAGGACTTACTTCCAGGTAAATTTGTTTAAGATTTCTGAATCAGGCTGCAAGTGACGGTTGTACACAGTTACCTGGCGTGGGGTGTGGGGGTCAGCAACACTGAATTCAGTGGGGCTGACTTCTGAGAAGGTAAGTATAGGGTTTTGTTTTTTAAAATGGGTTCCTTCCTTTGCACAACAGATTGATATTTAGAATTCCAAATGGAAATGTTGAGCAGGAAGAACCTCAATTATGGACTCTCCTTCCTTGGAGCTTTTTAAGCAGAAGCTGGATGTTCCTCTTTCATGGATGCTTTAGTTGAGATTCTAGCACTGCAGGGGGTTGGACTAGATGACCCTTAGGGCCCCTTCGGATAATATCAGAACAATCTTTATTTGCATCAGCCACTAGCCATAGCAATAAAATAAAATAAATTGTACTGAATATAGAGGTAAGAACTTAACTATACAAAATACATTTTGGAGGTTTACATCAATAATCAAATAATAGATCTTATTCTAATTACTCCTGCGATTATTTTTTTTTGCAGTTTTTGCTGTCATCTGATTATTTTGCTCTGCTAGAAGAAAGGACACAGTAGCAATGGTTGAGCAACCATTGGACAATAGTAGAAGGGTAATAGCCTCACTCCTCGTATCTTTATAAAGAGTGCAAGCCAGAAGCTCATGAACCACTGACTCAATACTGCCATCTCCATAGGGATGTGGGTGGCACTGTGGTCTAAACCACTGAGCCTCTTAGGCTTGCCAATCAGTAGGTCAGCTGTTTGAATCCCTGTGATGGGGTGAGCTCCCGTTGCTCTGTCCCAGCTCCTGCCAACCTAGCAGTTCGAAAGCACGCCAGTGCAAGTAGATAAATAGGTACCACTGTGGTGGGAAGGTAAACAGCATTTCTGTGCACCCTGTTTTCTGTCACAGTGTTCCGTTGTGCCAGAAGAGGTTTAGTCATGCTGGCCACATGACCCAGAAAGCTGTCTGTGGACAAACACCAGTTCCCTCGGCCTGAAAGTGAGATGAGCACCATAACACCATAGTCGCCTCTGACTGGACTTAACTGTCCATGGGTCTTTTACCTTTCCCTGCCATCTCCACATGGACATAACCGTTTTCCCTGTAGAATTTTTTGAAATCGGCCCTCGAGTACAGCCGAAGCAATATATTCAATCTTGCAAAAGTGAAAGTGTGCCTGTATTTTGGAATTGTTAAATTTTATAAATAGGGTGCCAATGTGCCAAAATGATTAGGTGGAAAATAACCATACCATGGACAAAATGTCTTTATCACGGCCAAATTATTCTGTCACTCAATACCATATAGGCACTGTCGGGGTCCCTTCCAACTCTACAATTCTATGATTCTTTGAAGAGGTAAAATATGCTGAAGGATTTATTTATATTACAGAGGCTATTGACTTACCCAATTCAGTGTTCTTATTCGGTTTTGCGGTCTGTCGTGCCCGCCTGAGGCCTCGCAAAATCTTGCTCCAAAGAAAGTTGGGTGGATCCATGTTTGAGGGTTAGAAGCCACTTTGTGAGGGCAACAGGCCCTTTGCACAGGGCACACATTCTTGACAGACACACCAACAACTACTGGCAAAGAGGAACAAAGACTCAGAGAATTGTGGAAATTGTAGTATGGCACAACAGAGAGATGGGACAGTCCTATGTTGTAACCGAATCCATCATGTGGGTCTGTTAATATGCCTGGCATTGACTGCAGTGAAGACTTCACCTACGACAGACACACATCTGGCGAAGCGTTGGTAGATAAGGACGACGAGAGCATCCTTTGAGAGATAAATGGCCAACATCTGAGAGCATTCTTTCTGGTCCGAGCAAGGAGGAGGAGGAGGAGGGGGGGGACTGGAGAAGAGATGGAGGAGAAATACAGACAAAGAAACTGGGATGTTTTAGAGACCAAGGAGAGAGCTTTACGAGGGGAGGAGGAGGAGGCGTGGCGTGGCATGGCGGGGGAAGGTGAGCCATGAAAATTTGGGCCACCTCAGTGAGGACACTGAAGAGGAAAGAGGAAGAGTAACAGGGAAACATTGAATTGAATTATTGGGGCAGGGAAATGTGAAATTGAATGTGAACAGGACCCTCTCTTCAAGGCATTCCAAAAGAAACTCATAAATAAACTGAAGGATACTACCCTGAATAATAGTGACTGGGGTAAAACCACTACTTACATACTATTCCACAATTAATAGAGACAAAGGAACAAGTGTTTGCAACTCTTTAATTGTGTACCATGTAAAGCTCACTTCCAGAACATCTCCCATCTTAATTTGTGCTGTGCTGTTTGAAATGCTAATGAAGCTGGAATTCTCAAAGGTCATATTTGGAATATACTAGTGCTTTCCTTTTCATTCTTTTTTGTTCAGTTTCAAAACAATTAAAATGAGGTTTAGTTCTAATTTGGCTAACAATGTTAGCTCTTCCGTTAATTAGCCCAAGTGTAAGAATGTCTCCTTGCTCTGGCCATTTGCTGAATGAGAAGGCACTTTATTTTCATTTAAACTATTCCTCTGTGCTTTTTTCTTTTTTCAAAAAAAGGATGTCTTTTCTCTATTGATTGCGTAAAATAACTTGGGGGGGGGATTATTATAAAAAATATATAAAAGGAGAGAGGAAAAGTGCACATTTAGCAAATCCCTGCACTGCATACTTTACGGAGTCATTTATCATCCTTCGAAAGGTTGGAGTCTTCACAAATATTAAAGAAAAGGGCCGGTAATTGCTGTGTGCAACTAATTGACAGATTTGTGTCGTTAAAGGGAGAGAATTTCTATGCCACCATCAGTGTTGACACTCTGAGGATGCTCTATAAAATCCATGTTTGTGAGATATAATTTTGGGGTGGGGGTGGGGAAACGGAATCACCTTCCTGCATTCATAGCAAATGTGATGGTAGCACTTTTTCATTAGAGAAGGGACAGGTATGGAACTTAAATGCAAACCAACATCTTCAAAGTGTGTCATCAGCACAAACATGGAGTGTAGGACTTGGTGTGCAACGGAGCCCTGCTTTCGACTTGTCCATGCAATCCAAGTCCCAGGGAATCGTTGGAAGGGACTGGATAACAATTTTGTCAATCGCCAGTAAAAATAAGCAGGATATAAATCTAAGTATTATTTCTGCAACAAAATGTTTGTTGCAAAATAAACACAAAATAAACGGGATAGGTAGGGGGAATTAAAAGGGCATATGGAGTGTTCCAGAATATTTTATTCAACTTGCGAACATTTCTCTTTGCAAGATAGATGAATGCACAAAGCATCTACTGTCGAGCAAAGCTCTGCTACGTCGAAGGTGAGCTTCTCTGAATGGGTTGGGAAGGTCGTCTGGTGTTCTATTCCACAAGCTAATTTTGGATTTTCATTAGTATGCTGTGCTAATCATGTTTAATGAATCCAAGTCCAAATTGCATTATGGGTTATTGTCTACGGATAGGCTGGAGACACGGCACATTAACACAGCAGAACAAAAGGCACAGGCAACAAACGCTAGACAAACATACGGCTCTTATTAGTTATGGACCTATCCTTTTTACAGTATGTCAGGCTTAGGGATTTGAAAAGTAAACAAATATAAATCATCGGGGAGCAAAGCTGTTCCAGAAGTACATTAGAGGAGCATTGCGCATGAAGCTGTGGCTTCTGTGGGGGATTTAGTCCAAATTTTACCCTCATCCTCATTGTGGTGTCCACTCAAGTGGGTTAATAAAATACGTGTAACAATGGATTAAGTTTATAGCAGGCTTTTAGAAAGTGCTACTCCCCAGTATATTTATCATATGAATTTCTCCTTCCTCTGCCCTAGTCTAGTCAGAGCTTCAAAGACTTTTAAGGCTGCTCAAAGGATTTCTGAATCCAACACTCTCTGAATAGAAGCACCAGAGCCAAACTTTGTGCAGAACTATTTTCCAAATATTAAAGGGGTTTTGGGGAGCGAAGCTACTTCCCAAGACAGAAAAAACTTCGCAACATCTTTGGATAAATTGTCCCATTACCCTTCTGCCTTACAGTTAGGAAACCTTTAACACCAGTCACCCAAATCAGATGGCCCCTGTATTCACCCGATTGCCTTAGGATGTGTTTGTTAGAATTCCTGCTCCGTGATTGCAGTCATGGGATTGTTGTCTATCACATGACAGTATATGTTTTGACTCCACAGAGTGGGAAGTGACGGAGACAGGATGTTTGTGTTACTGTGTTCCGTGAAGTGTCCTTTGTTCTTTTTCTCTTTGCTGTCTGATGCTAGAGAGAGAGGGAGCCATGTTGCAGTGCTCTGTGTGTGTTTGTATGTAAATAAAGTAGATTAGCCAAAATGCTGAGTTGCTGAGGTCTGTCACGCGCATGCTGCGCAGACTCTGCGGATCCCTAAATGTGCCGGTGTCTGTTGGCATTGGTCGCTGTGATGTTCGGGCAGAAGAAAGCTTTGGAAGCTCCCGAGCGAACGACCAGGAGGGAGAGAACATGCCAGTGGGGAATGTGTCTCTACCAGGGTCCTACTCGAGTGTAGGATGAGCTCCTGACAGTGTTCACTCATAAACCTCCGTGAATAACACTCCCGAATGCAGGGTTTCAAGGTCAGTTGATGGATGCCAACTGCATTTTCAGGAGGGATCAGCTGCTCTCTGGAGTTTGTAGTTGGGAATTTCTGCTTGCATCTGAACGAAGTTGGTGTTGAAGAATCATTGCTTCAACACTGTTGATCTTTGCTTCTTCCAGTACACTGGCATTAGTTCGCCTGTCTTCCCAAGTGATATGTAAAATTTTTGGGAGACACCATTGATGGAATCTTTCAGGGAGTTGGACACGGTGTTTATAAGTGGACCATGTTTCACAAGCAAATGTCCTGGTCCTCAGACACTCTGCACTTCCATTGGGAAAAAGCTGCACTTGCAGAGCTAGGTGATGCTGGATTTTGGCACCAATGTCGGCCCTTGCAGAAAGATACCTAACTGCCCAGGTTGGAGAAGTGATCAACATTTTCCAATGTTACACCATTGAGTTGGATTTGTGGGGCTGCAGAGGGGTTGTTTTGTGCTTGTTGGTGCAGCACTTTGGTTTTTTGGATGTTGAGCGGTAGGCCAAGCTTTTTGTAAGCTTCTTTAGGATATATTTAGGATGGTTTGGAGGTCATCCTCTGAGTGTGCACACACTATGTTGCCATCAGCATCCTGAAGCTCTATGTGCCTCTTGCTATACAGTACATAATTGGTCCAATGACTGGCCTGCATCAGCAGACTCATAAATCACATGGAATCCACCATTATGCTAAAACCATCCGTTCAGGCCTCTTCTGGAAGAAAACAACTTTGCCGGCAATTAGTCTGTGTGTGTTGTTTGGGATGTCGCATAATAAGTATTGAGCTTATACGATGCTAGTGATTTACGTACCACCAAGTCACCAAAACTAAGCTTGGCTGTAGCACATCATCAATCTTTTCTCAATAGTTCAACAAAAGAATCCATTTTCTTTTGATAAAAGCCCCATTGGTCTTGTGATCTATAAATCATCCTTTCAAAAGAAACCCTTTGAAATATCAATTCAAGGTATTCTCACAGACTATCATTTTATAGCATTTCCTAGTGATGGAAGATAATGCCGGTGCCTATCAAAAAGGAAAATGCTGCCCATTTTTCACCGAATTTTCACAACTTTAGCAGGAGCTCTCAAGAGTCTCTAATATTACCCTCCCCGTTCTTCTGTAGCTTGTGAATTGAGTTAGAAAGCTTGTGTCAAAAAGGCACATTTTTAATATGAGGGAAAGAGTGTGGCGGTTAAAAACAGATTAGATTATAAAGGAGGGCTTGATTTTTTCTTCTACCACTACTGCCAATTTCTAAAATCCGGTGCCTGCCATATGAACCATGCACCAGTTTGTTTGCTGAAAGAATAAGTTATCTAATATGACCAAAAGCACTGTGACACCTTAGAGACTAACTGGTTTATTTGCTATGAGCTTTTGTAAGCCATAGTGTACTTCATTCAATGCACAAAGCAAGTTTGCTTTAAAAATAAAAGTAAAAATGATAGCTCCACGTTTTGTTTTGCAAACTTGGATATTAAATCTTAACTCCATTTTGATAGTAGAAGATGAGGAGTTGAGCTTTGAGATGGCCACGTGTCTGTGATGCTGCAAAATGACCCTGATCTCACACTGGAACCAGCCAAGGCCCCCAGAGTTCTTGAAACAAGAGGCTGCACTTGAAGCCACAGATGGTGAAAAAAAAGAAATCTCAGGAGTTAGAGAGAGGTTGCAGACCTAGATTTCCACAAACTCTGAGAGTTTGCTAACCTGGCAAGCGAGCAAAAGAAAGGAAATTCGCAAGACTGCCCAGAGTGTGGCAAGTCATTTCACAGTCCGATAAACCGAACATAGTAAGCTTCAGGAAAGGGGACACTATGGTGCAGGATGCATCTCTAAACATATGCTGGAACTGGCTCTCCAAGAAGACCTCTACCAGGGACATGAAAAATGTGAACCTGGGAACCATCGGTTGATACAGCCAGTAGTACCATGGACTGCCACCATTGACTTGGGAGAGCTCTGTGCTGACACTGCTGTGCTCCCAGTGTCATTGTATGGGAAGTTAGAGGTGGCAAAATTTCAGGGCCCCCAGAAGATATGAAAAGGTTCAGGGCAATCGGCGCTCAATATGTTTCAGATTCTTGTAGGTAGCTAAGATGAGTGAAAGAACTCAAATTCAAAAGAAATTGGTCTGGATGGGGGAAAAAAACAACCTTTGCAAACTTCAGTCACACGGCACTTTATGAACTGCAAGAGCTTTGTCACTTTTATGAGAAGATAACGAACTGGACTTCACAAGCTGTCATATTCACATTCAAGCAACTAAACTTGGCACATTGCGAAACGGTCAGTCACCATTTGAAGAGGCGGCTGGCTTTTCCTTCGTTTTTCAGTCAGAAAGAAGCATTGCCAAGAGACAAAATTTCACCCCCCCCTTTCAAAAAGTTACATCTGCAAAATTCAGTTTTCCTAATGAAATTACAGATGAGATCACTCAGCAGAGAAACGTGCATCCTTCTGCTTCGTAGACTGATCGTGAGCTCATTAAAAATGAAATCACAGCGATAATGGAAATCTTTGTTAATCCTATATCGATTTGGCCACACCATATACTTCCATTGCATTCTGAATGGCAGCTTGCTTTTCCTGTTGAAAAATGGATTCTGGAAACATGTGACCAGCCTTCTAGATGGTATTGATTCATGTGATTTTTAGATATTATTGCACTTACATATTGAGGTTGGATTAAACAGTACGTTAGGTATGCTAGAGTTGGGTGTGTGGGAATCAAAATGCAAGTCAGTGTTGCATTGTATGTTGCAAGTGGACTCTGGCTTTCTCTGCAGCTCAGAACATGGTTCCTGTTTCCTATCCACATGATAAAGAAATAATACTGTAGCTATGCTACCTGTTGTAAGAAATGTAATAGTTTACTCCACATCTCTATCACTTATGTAGACTAAGGGGTTTATTTACAGGAAGGGAAAATGTTTCCAGTATGGCTACTAAACATGATGCTTCATTCTACCTTCACTCCTGAAGACAATATGCTTCTGAATACCTGGTCCTGGAAACTGAAGGAGGGGTGATTCCCGTCTTAGTGATTCCCACAAACATCTGGTTGGCCACTGTGTGAGAACAGGGTATGGACTAGATTAGATTCTGGCCCAATTCAACAAGGCTTCTCCTATGTTCTTTCTACTGTAAAATTGATCTAATCTTGGTTCTTCCGGGTCATCCAGAAAAGTGACTGACAAGTCACACCTCCCATTCCTTCAAGTCTTGCTTGCCATGGGTAGGCAAACTAAGGCCTGGGGGCCAGATTCGGCCCAATCGCCTTCTAAATCCGGCCCACGGATGGTCCGGGAACCAGTGTGTTTTTACATGAGTAGAAAGTGTCCTTTTACAGTATTTAAAATGCATCTCTGGGTTATTTGTGGGGCAAAGGAATTCGTTCATGTCTCTCTCTCTTCAAAATATAGTCCAGCCCCCCCCCCCAAGGTCTGAGGGACAGTGGACCGGCCCCCTGCTGAAAAAGTTTGCTGACCCCTGGTGCTAAGCCATAGCAAAGCATCATTATTAACTGAGCCATAAGACACATTTAGGTTTAGTCAGCAAACATTATTTCAGTGCATCTGCATTAGCACTGAGGTGACAGTTTAAGGCTGCGATCCTACACGCACTTACCTGGAAAGAAGTCCTATTGAGCTCAGTGATGCTTACTTCTCAGTACAGATGTATAAGGCTGTGTTGCAAGATCTCCTGTTTGCCTAATGTTTTCTTTATGGTTGTATTAGTCATACTCAGAGGAGACCCATTGGAATTAATAGACACAAATAATTCAGGATCATTATTTCAGCAGGTCTACTCTGCATAGAATTTAGCTGGACACAAAATTTAGTCTCAGAAACAGTGGGTATAATGTATCTACGCCCGTTTCCAGGAACATTTCAATAGGTATCCTCTGGTTGCTTCCTGATTGATTTATGATGACACAATACATCGCAGAAATCAGTCCACAGATCCTAGTCTGTTATTTAACATCTTTTTAAAAAAATAATAAGCTGCAAAGTGGATTTCTATTTGATTTTACAGAAACTGGATCAAAGCCACATTTATTTTCATGAAGCATTCCCAAAAGTTGAAAGCTATATGACAGCCTCTTTGGTTATTTAAATGATGGAAAGGTATCGTTAGTGTGCATGAGACACTTCTATGCCTTTTTATAGAACAACATTGGGAAGATGAGACGGAAAGGAAAGTATTAGGTCCGACAGTGGAGGCAGACCATTGCATTCCCTCTAAGCATCCCAATTTCCTAGGGACATTTATTTTATCAAGAATATATAATTAAACAACATTCAAAAAATAAAGGAAAAACAATACAATTGAATAAAAATTTAACATACCCACACCCCAAAAAAATGAAATACAAATTTGGGTTGTTTCATTCACAATCCCTGGGAATTATTATTATTATTGGTGTTGGAGGGTAGTAATATTTTTGCAAAGATTTGCTTTATTTATAAATATCCTTGAGATCTTATTACATTCTCACTTGAAGCTGAAATGTTCTGAAGAATTCTACATAGTAGCATATTTCACAAGAGGCATTTGAACATTGTCATCATTATTTATATGCAGTATAAAGTAAGTTTTTCAACATAGCTAAAAATGAATCTTTATTTTTTTTTGTCCCCTAGTATACCTTAATTTTTGAGCCCATCCCTGCAATAGTTCCAGACCTGATTTGACTATACCACAAATTGTTATTTAACCCCCTAAATATTTCCGTTTACTTACAGTAACCATCTCGGCAGCTGACACTAAATATCAAATCGATTCTTTGTCCAGTAAATCTTCATTTGGCATGGTCCCCTTTCCACAGTAATGCTATAAGGATAATAAGAATAAGAATAAGAATAAGAATAAGAATTTATTTATTATTTATACCCCTCCCATTTGGCTGGGTTTCCCCAGCCACTCTGGGCGGCTCCCAACAGAATATTTAAAACACAATAATAAAACATCAAACATTAAAAACTTCCCTAAACAGGGTTGCTAATGAAGGGATTGCTATGAATCCCTAACTTAATTTCTAGGAATACCATCTTGGTATTCAACTTGCATGGGGTGGAACCCTGGACTTTAAAAGCCTACTGGTCCCCCCCCCCATCTTTTCATTTTCTTCTCAGTGACAGTCACCTTAGGGCTAGTGATGCAGTGATGCAGGGACTGTTGTGGTGTAGCGGTTAAGAGCTGTAGTCTCGTAATCTGGTGAACCGGGTTTGCTTCCCCGCTCCTCCACATGTACCTTCTGGGTGACTGTGATAGCCTGGGAATCTGATTCAGAATCTGAACCTGAGGAGTCCCAGCCTGCACAGGAGTCCCCGCCTCCAGGGCCGGCTGAGCCGGGGCAGGGGCTTGAATCTGAAGGACCTGCACCTGTGCCGGATCCTCAGGAGCAGACACCAGATGTATCCACTCTGGCTCCAGAGGTGATGGAGGGCCCATTGCCTGCAGGTGCGCCTCTCCCAGCACTGTCAGGAGAAGGTGAAGCTGCCCCTGGGTCCAATAACCCTCCAGCCTCTCCTGAGCTGCAGAGGCTCAGGGCAGAGAGGCGGAGGGAACTAAGTTCTCTGAGGAGGAGTGCTCGCCTTAAGGCCAGGAGAGGCGGGTCTCCTGGGGGCCGGGACCGTCCCTGGCCTCCGAGGAAATAAAGGCCAGTCAGCCCAGTCCCAGGTTGTGGGAGCAACGTCGTTGGAAACCTGTTTCTGCCAGCACCCAGACCTGCTCTTCCAGAGTTCCTGACCACGCCTGGCTTCTTGCTTTGGACCCCGCCTTGCCCTTGGTGGACATTCTCTAGACCCTCGACCCAGGACCGGACTCTGACCACGCCTCCCGGTAACCTCCCCCCGGGACCAGCACAGGTGACCTTGGGCCAGTCACACTTCTCTGAAGTCTCTCAGCCCCACTCACCTCACAGAGTGTTTGTTCTGGGGGAGGAAGGGAAATGAGAATGTTAGCTGCTTTGAGACTCCTTCGGGTAATGATAAAGCGGGATATCAAATCCAAACTCCTCCTCCTCCTCCTCCTCCTCCTCCTCCTGTCTTGTCCCATAGTCCAGGTGAGCCTATCAGCGTGTATGTACCTGCTGATACCTGATATGACAGTGGCCTCGGAGTGGCGAGGAGGGAGTCAGGTGCCACAGATGCAGGACAGACCAGCCCTGGAAGCAACACTCAGCCTGCTTGGGTGGTTCTGCTGTTATGTTTGGGCCACAACAGGATAGATTTCCCAGTTTGGGGTTTTGTAAGTGGGATTGGCCAGGGGCTGGAGATGGATGTGTGAGTGACTCATGGTCTGGCCTGAATCCATGGCCTGAAGTGTTAAGTACAGTAACTGTAAATACTTGTAGGTATTTCTTTGTGTTTAAATTTGATCAGTTAGTAACTGAATTCTAGAATTCTAGAGAGTTCTCTAGCAGTTCTTATGCGATTGGCTCACGTTGGTCACATGGGAGGTATCTAGTGAAGGAGAGACTCCATTTTATGTGAAGCAAGATGACTGTGTTTTAGAATCCACTGTGAACGCTGCTAAGTTGAATAGAGTGTCGGGATGCTTCTTCTCTGCTTGAAAGAAAGAGAGTAAAGCTGCAAGACAAGGTAAAAGTGGAAATCTCTCATGGCCTAATTGAGATACAGAAGGCTGAGTGCTGAGCTCTGGAAAGGGAGGAAAATACAGTTGTTTGGAAGTCAGAAGAAGAGACTGTAAACCTATGCTTGGAGAAGCGTGTGACTGTAAATATTATGTTTTAATTCATCCATAAGTTTAAGTTTCTGCAAGCAAAGTTTTTGAATGTTAAAATCTGGACATTGGTTTAATTTCCAAAGAAGGGTGTCAGTCTTAGCTGCAATTTCAACATAATGTGAAGAATTTATATTTATGATTCACCCTTCCCCAGCAGATCCTAGGGTGGGTTAAAACAATTTAAAAAATCAGAATTAAAACAGATTACAGTCGCAGGAATAGGATAGGTCCAGAAAACACGCAAGTTGGGTGTCAAAGGTCAGGTCAGAGAAGTGGGTCTCTTCATCTAAAGGCCATGTGTGTTCAGCCCTCAGGGATGGGATGTGTCACTTCAGCCCCTGCAATTGGCAGGTCATATGATGACCCCTGAGCCTAGGGCTTGCCGTTCAGAAGGTCGGCAGTTCGAATCCCTGCAACGGGGTGAGCTCCCGTTGCTCGGTCCCTGCTCCTGCTAACTTAGCAGTTCGAAAGCACGTTAAAGTGCAAGTAGATAAATAGGTACTGCTTTGGCGGGAAGGTAAACAGCATTTCCATGCGCTGCTCTGGTTCGCCAGAAGCGGCTTAGTCATGCTGGCCACATGACCTGGAAGCTGTCTGCGGACAAATGCCGGCTCTCTCAGCCTATAGAGCGAGATGAGCGCGCAACCCCAGAGTTGTCTGCGACTGGACCTAACGGTCAGGGGTACCTTTACCTTTACCTTTATGATGATTCTAGATTGACTGGGTCTCGTGTAGTATGATGATCCTGCCCCTCTGCTTTTGCCTGTTCAACAGAGTACAGGCTTTGCCCATGGACCTCAAGGTGTCAGGGACTGAACTCGGGTATGGCTGCCCAGGACTCCAGTGCCCTGAAAGAATTCTTCTTCACACACAATTGTGTATCTTCAAAATGAAGTATAGTTATACAGTGAGGCTTGCAGCACTTCCATTCTCCACCTCATCCATTTATTAGGGCAGCAACAAGTGATCGATCAATTAAAAAACCTACTGCTTGAAATTATTTTATTATTAATGTCTATATCACCCTTCATCTGAGGATCACAGGGTGGTTTTTACAAATTCTATCTGAGGATCACAGGGTGGTTTTTACAAATTCGATACCTGCTTATTTGGTTGCACGCCTATGTCCACTTATGTGTGAGGAAACATGTTTCAGTGTCGGGATGCTGTCAGCAGCTCCTGGCTGGTCGCCCAGGAAAGCATTATTTCAATCTTTACAGAGAGAGGTTATAGAACTCAGCCTCTTGGATAATGGCGTTGTCCCGAGTGAATCTCCACTCCCCTGTCTCTCCCACTTCCTTGTTCATCATCCTCATCACCTCCTCTACCAGTGCTGCTATGTGCCCTCTGTCTTTGAGCTCTTTGCTCTCCTACTTTTAAAGCTTGCTGGGTTCTGGGAGATGGAGGGTCTGGAATGCTTTCGAATGACGTGTCAGCCAGGTGTTGCTCTGGCTCTCCTGCAATTTCCCAACTTCCCCCCTCATCTGCCTCTGTGCTGTGACCTCCCGCAAACCCCTGTTATAAATTTTACTGTCTTCCCCTTCCTCCTCCCTGGAAAGGTCAGGATGGGGAGGCAGTCTCCACCATTCCTCCTCTGCCCAGTCCCTGACATCAAGATTACATTAATTGAACAGTAAATGGGCTAAAATCATGTCACAGGCTAAGGGTGTTGCATTCTTTCTGTCCTGACTGCAACATGCATACCTCGCCCACCCAGCCCTGCCATGAAAACACAGTAAAATTACAACATTTGAATCAGTGGCTACATCGAGAGCAAAATGTTTTGCATGAAATTGTCTGTGGGTCTGAGTTTTCCACATCCACAGAAAGCATTGCGGTTTGAGTTCAGTGGCCTGAATACTGCACTGTGCAGACAGAGCAAGAACCAGGATAAATTGTCTTAATAAACTGTTCTTTTACTTGATGGAACAACCATAATAAGCTTGTGACTTGTCAATGCTGTAGCAGACAGGTCAATAATCTGCTTCCTAATTCACTCAGAATTATATTAGATCACTCCAAAGAAAGCATCTTATTATAGTTAATCTTCAACATTCATCTTTAATCTCCCACTTTCATTAAAATCAGATGATGGCCAAACTCGTGGGTATGGTAGTGATACCCTCTCTCCATCTCACATAGAAGAGAAGCATATTTTTAGATTTATGCCGGATAAAACTAAATCTCACCATTCTCCTGTGACGAAGGCAAGGGATACAAAGGGCTCTGCGAGGTGGAATGTAATGATTTATCAGAATGTGATGGCGCAGCTTCCAACTTATTTTGCAGTGCATCATGATGTGTTTTTTATATAAGAAAATCAGGCAGAGCTGCGTGAAGAGTTGTGTGCTTTGATGATGCCAGACTCTGCTCTCCGTAAAGCCCCCTTGGTGCCGTTTCTGACTATGCAATTTCATTTTAACATTTTTTTGCGAATTCCAAATACGCTTATTCAGAAGTTAGTCCTATCAAGAGCAAAGGTATTTGCTTACTGGTAAGTATACTTATGACTGCATGTCTGTGCAGTCAGATTTCTTATTTATTTGATTTGATGCTTGGCAAGCAGATCTCTAAGGGGAGAAAAACCCACTTTGTAAATAGATTATATTTATGTGGTTTGTTTGAGTTGTTCACGAACGAAATGAAGATTTGCATAGAAATCTGCTTCTTCACGTTGCTGCTGCTGCTGGGGAAACCTTCCTTTATCTCGTCCTTGGGATTTTCCCCAGGCCAGCCACCTCCGTGGAACAGAGTTTGCCCCCCAGCTTTCTTCCTAGTCTCTTTGAGTGCTTTTGCTTGGCTGAACTGTGGCAGTACCTTCTGCCTGCCTGGATGGAGGTGTGTGTGCTGGAGAAATTTAAAAAGGGGTTCCTCGACTGCAGGTATCTCTCCTGGAACCCCAAAATACAGTGGTACCTCGGGTTACATACGCTTCATGTTACAGACTCCGCTAACCCAGAAATAGTGCTTCAGGTTAAGAACTTTGCTTCAGGATGAGAACAGAAATCGTGCTCTGGCGGCGTGACGGCAGCAGGAGGCCCCATTAGCTAAAGTGGTGCTTCAGGTTAAGAACACTTTCAGGTTAAGAACGGACCTCCGGAATGAATTAAGTACTTAACCCGAGGTACCACTGTAAAAGGATGCACGCTCCAAGTGAAAAGACAGGCCTTTATTGAAATACAAATGTTCATAGAGACAGCCTCAAAAATGAGGAGGCTGTAAAGACCCACATTCAAAGAAATGCTTTGTATACACTTCCAGATTACACATGTGATTTCTGTTCACCTATCAAAGGGTCACAGCAATCTTAATAGTTGCAACCCAATGTCACCAACCTGAACCAATCAAAATCACTTAGTTCTTCAGATCAGCCTGCATCAGATCGTGATTAGGTAAAGGAAAAGGTAGCCCTGCCCGTTCGGGCCAGTCTTGCCAGACTCTAGGGTTGTGCGCTCATCTCACTCTATAGGCCAGGAGCCAGCGCTGTCCGCAGACACTTCCGGGTCACGTGGCCAGCGTGACGAAGCTACTCTGGCGAGCCAGAGCCGCACACGGAACACCGTTTACCTTCCCGCTAGTAAGCGGTCCCTATTTATCTACTTGCACCCGGGGGTGCTTTCGAACTGCTAGGTTGGCAGGCGCTGGGACCGGACGACGGGAGCGCACCCCGCCGCGGGGATTCGAACCGCCGACCATGCGATCGGCAAGTCCTAGGCGCTGAGGTTTTACCCACAGCGCCACCCGCGTCCCGCCAGATTGTGATTACATATAATCATTTTTCAGTGTCTTTCCTTATTAAGACTTTGACTAATTTTCCTATTCATTAAATGTCTCCAAATATCATTTTTTTCATCTATCTACTAAACCGACTCGGAAGTGGGCAGCTGCGCAGTGCAGCGCCGGTAAGAGCGGGTGGCAGCAGCGGGCAGCGGGGGTTGCTGTGGGCCGGATAAACGAGTCCCTCGGGCCTTATCTGGCCCGCCGGCCTTAGTTTGGAGACCCCTGGAGTAGACTGTGGCTCTTGTGTCCTGCTTTGTGGGTTTATTGTAGAAGAAGAAGAAGAGTTTGGATTTGATATCCTGCTTTATCACTACCCGAAGGAGTCTCAAAGCGGCTAACATTCTCCTTTCCCTCCCCCCCCCACAACAAACACTCTGTGAGGTGAGTGGGGCTGAGAGACTTCAGAGATGTGTGACTGGCCCAAGGTCACCCAGCAGCTGCATGTAGGCATCTGCTTGGCCACTGTGAGAAAGAGGAAGCTGGACAAAATAAGCCTTTGCTCTGACCAAACAGGGCTCTTCTTGTGTTCTTATCTACACACCTTGCCATCAAACAAATCTCAGCTGACGTCTCCGGCAGCACTTACCGGTAATAAGAAGCACCCCATTTCAAGAGACATCGAAAAGTAAGAAATTCTTGAAGTTGCTTTGTTCTTCAGTTCTTCCTTTTCTTCACACAGCGTGATGGGGAAAATGTTAAATTAGCTGATTTTTTTGATTTTTTTTAAAGCTCACTAAGTCATGGCAATCCACTGTTTTGAAGACATGCCAAATGTAATTAAACCAAGCTTGGATGCTTTCATATCTAGCCAGAGCAAGTTTATATGGCTGTTGTTCCGAACTTCTTTTTATTGAAGAAGTTCTTGTTGAGAAATAACTGTAATAACCAGGGTGTCAACTCAGCTGGCTCACTAATATTATCCAGTAAGTACCAAAACTACAAGGTCAGGGCCCAAATCAAATCACCGTCCAGGGAGGCAGATGTTGACATATCATTATTAAAAACCCCACTCTGAGGAAGTCATTTCAGTGTTTTGCTATGAGTCAGCAAGCGGCCATCAACCTTCAGCGGCTTGACAGCCCACACTTCTAGAACTTTCTAGAGCTGATTTATGACTGCTATGAAAGGAAACCTGCTCTGCACTTATTGTCATCTGGGAAGGGCATAACTTTCCGCTGCTAAAACATGGGTTGCGTTTGGGAAGAAAGGTTGATTTCAAAGGTAACATGTTCTGGCAAAAGATGATGTTGAGAATAAAAACCTCCTCTAAGGTAACATCAAGCAATAGCGTTAATAAAACAACTTCACTTCTTCGATACAGCTTTTATTTAACTATCTATTACAGCCAATGCAACTATGGGTTTGAAACTTTTGACCTTCGCGGAACTCGTCGTACGCTGACATCTACTGAAGAATCCCTGCACAATTGCATCCACAGGATGGGGGAATTTTGTAGGATGCACACACTGCTAGGGCAGGGCAAACTTGCTTAGCCTCTGTCTTGCCATATGTGAACTGAAATTTTACCTTACAGCCAGCATCATATCATTGTAAATCACCTCCAACCGGGGGTAGGGGAGATACTTGCTCCCCTTCAGGCTACCTCTCCAGCTATTTAATTTCTATGGAACACTTTGGTCCAAGTTTCACATAAACATATTGAAGCTTAGCCTACCTGGCTTGGGCAAAGAGGCAGGTCTGAGCATGTTAGCAGTCCCTTTTTATTTGCAGAAATCCCATCTTACGGATGTAAAATCTTGGGCTTAGTGAGGACTCGCAAAAGGAAATCTCAGCCAAAATTTGCAATATTATTTACAGTTTTTAAAATACAGTGGTACCTTGGGTTAAGAACTTAATTCGTTCTGGAGGTCCATTCTTAACCTGAAACTGTTTTTAACCTGAGGTACCACTTTAGCTAAAGGGGCCTCCCGCTGCCGCCACACGATTTCTGTTCCCATCCTGAAGCAAAGTTCTTAACCCAAGGTACTATTTCTGGGTTAGCGGAGTCTGTAACCTGAAGTGTATGTAACCCAAGGTACCACTGTAATATTGAATGCACAGTGGAATCCCATGAAGCCCTTCTAAGCTCAGTGGGACGTACTCTCTACTAAAGGAGTGGCCCAGCTCCCCCCCCCCATTGGCCATCTCTTGAGGGGCCACATGCTAACACTGGGAGTGGCCAAAGTCAGCCCAGAGCTGCTTCTCCCTCTTAAGAATCTCAGCGGAGGAAGACAGAGAGATGGCAAGTGGTGGTAGTGATCTTAAGAGAGAGAGAGAGAACAAATATGCTGTTTCCTTCCATGCCACCTGCACCAAACGAGGCTTGCAGCTCTGGCATCACAGGCTGCCAACCTCTGCTCCAGGACGTAGTTTTAGGATTGCAGCCTAATCAATGTCTTCTTTTTTATTTTGAAATAAATCAGAGAGGGGGCACAACCCACGCCATCCATGTACAGCTTTGTGCATGAAAAGATCTCAGTGTAGTATCTTTTTAAACTTCCATCCCTCTTCTCAGCCCTGCACACTGGGCTGGAGGCGGGCGCGGACTCTGGTTTCTGCCGCTCAAGGCGGGCACCTCTCCTTGCCTCACCAGTGGGCTAGGCCAATACAAAAACATACAGGCTGTGTACACACCATATGTTTAAAGTGCATGATCATGTCAGGAGTTCAGCCTACACTCAAGTAGGACCCTGGCAGAGACACATGCCCAACTGGCACGTTCCCTCCCTCCTGGTCGATCATTTGGGAGCTTCATAAGCTTTCTTCAGCCCGAATATCACAGCGACTGATGCCAACCAACTACAGCACACTTAGGGATCTGCAGAGTTTGCGCATCATGCATAACAGACCTCAGTAACTCAGCATTTTGGCTAATCTACTTTATTTACATATAAACACACACGGAGCACTGCAACATGGCTCCCTCTCTCTATAGCATCAGACAGCAAAGAGAAAAGGAACAAAGGACAATAGTCCCACTTCACGGAACACAGTAACACAAACGTCCTGTCTCCATCACTTCCCACTCTGCGGAGTCAAAACATATACAGTCATATGATAGACAACAATCCTATGTCTGCAATCATGGAGCAGGAATTCTAACAGATCAGTCATGAGTCCATTTGGGTTACTAATCTGTGCTTTAAAATAAAATAAGTACAGAAATTTGCATTTAAATACACATACTACTTTAAACCGTCATGGCTTCCTCCAAAGATTCCTGGGGACTGCAGTTAATTAAGAATGCTGAGAGTTGTTTGGCTACCCCTGTTTCCCTTGGAGTAGTTTCGCAGCCAGGGAACTCTGGGAATGGTATAATAGGAGAAGCTTGCATTAAATGCTGACAAATTTGTACACATCCTTAAAATAAAGTTCACAAACTGGGGGGAAAAAAAAAAGAAGTGCGTGAGAATCCTGGGAACTGTCCCTTACCCCTCACAGAGTTACAATTCCCAGCACTGCTAACAAGCAACAGCACTCAGAATTCTTTGGGAGAATTTATGCGTGTTTAAATAGGCTTTAAAAGTATGCTGTGTATACAGCCAAAAACCCATCCCACAGGTTTTTTTTGTGTGTTTGTGCAATTATTCCTCAAGGTCTCTGCTCCTCCTGATGTCACAGCACCATCCTTAATCAGCGAGGATGCAACCTCCTTCAGCAAACTCACATTTGGCTTTTGAAAGTTCCTGTTGCTTAATCACACAAATCCACAGCTGTTCTCGAGAGCGTCAAGGTCTGGAGGGGAAGCAGCGAGGCCTCCGTCCCATCCCTTGATGCCGACTCCATGCTTTTAATTGCCATCTGGGAAGGTGTTACTGAAAAATTGTTTCTTATTCAAAAATTGGTGTGTCTCTCCCCCCCCCTTCTTCTTCAAAATGAAAAAAATAATAATATGCTGACAAGTGCCAGAGCAGTAGGCGGGAAGCTGCAAAAATGTGAGGGTGAAGAAAAGCTTTTTGCAGCGGCGCTGCCTCTACTACCTTTGATTCTGAACAGCCCTTGAACTAGCAGGACTCTTTAGGCAGCGGTTTGCCCTGCCCAAGTAACTTTGTAACATAGAGGAGATCAAGAAATCGTTTTGTAAAGCAGAGGAGACAAAGCGGAATAACAAAGAGCCCTCTAGGCTGGCACCATAAAGATTTTTATTTTATTTTATTTTTAAAAAGATTGCACCATCAGCTTTACTGTGGCACCTGTGGTTCAGAAATGAAGCAATGTTTCAGAAATTCCCGATCCAAATCTTGCCTCTGCCATGTATCTGCTCAGCTACCAATGCACAGGATGATGGCGGTAATCCTACTTTTCAGGTGGGATTTACAAGAAGATAAGGATGATGAAGCCTAACTCTTCTGAAGCACTTCTTGAAATGCTAAATATTGCCACGGGCTAAATGAATAAATAGAAGTGGGGTCTTCTAAATGTGTCCCTTCCATGTATGGGTTACCTGAGCATGGTTTTTAACTGGGAATGCGATCCAGCCTCAGCTTGACCTCTCACCAGCGCTAGTAACATTGGGCTGCATCATGAGACTCCCATAACCTACTTTTGCAGCGCACGCACCCCGGTCCACTTTAATAGGTATTACAGTGAGCTACACCAAAGGGTTGTCGTATTCTCCTCTTGGCCCATACTGAAACATGGGGATGAAGGCAATGCATATATTGCAAGACTGTTGCAAATGACTTTCTGAGCTTCATGCTACCCGTGAGCCCACAATAGAAGTCCAATACCTTTGCACAGCATTCCAGGTCTGACATACGGTGATCAATGTGGTCCTCTCCCAGCCACAGCCCCTTCAAACCTGCAGTAAGGACACAATGAACTGCGTATGCTTTGGAATGTTTTAACATAGCAGAATGAGTTGGCAGAGTTGGGAAAAGTAGAAGTTCTTTTCTTCGCTGCTCCCTTTTGGGAATTTTTTTGGGTGTGGGGGTGTTGACATGCCATTGCCAGCTGCATCAAAACCTTGGCTTTCCCCATGGATTTCTATGGGCAGCTCTCACTTCAGTCCCAGGGAATTTTGAAATAGCTTCTCAGCTGAGCCAGGAAAGGATCTGTGCAGATAATGAGATCATTCCCTCCGTTATGGAGGGACAGGAGGAAAGGTAAGCGAAATGGACTAAAGAACAACAAAAAAGGCAAAAGTTAGAACTGTCCGCCTTTAACCCTCCTCCTCGCTCACTGCTCCTTGCCTTTTCCCTCAGCTAGCTTCTCCTGCCAGCCGATGGGGTGGCATTTTGAAGTGACACAGGTTGCCAAAGCCATGCCCTCTTTGTGCCGGTCATTTTCCGCCAGCGCTCCCTCCCCATAGCTTCTCTTTTCCAACTCACAACTTGCCAGTGGCTGCTTGGGGGTTTCCCTACTGTCTAGGGTTGAGCTTGGTTTTCCTATTTAAAAAAAAAGAAATTGCGCTTCTGCAAATCTTCACATTCCCTCAACCCTAGTGATACCTTCCTCTTATGTGTTGGCCACATACCAATCAGCACATACCTTTGAACTTTAGAAACAGAGAAAATTATGCTAAGCAGCAGAGTTTTTCCCCAGTTAGTACAGTTATCAACTGTGTGAGTGACTTTTAACTGTGAGAGCAGCAAGTGTGCTGTGCTATAGGTAAACTTCGTTGGATTGGTCGCGTCCTGATTATCATCTTCCAAAGCAACTACTCTATTCCAAATTTAAAAATGGGAAGCGTCATGCTGGTGGTCAACATAAGAGCTTTAAAGACTCTCTCAAGGCAAATCTAAATAAACACTGACAATTGGGAAACACTGGCCTGCGAGCTCTCCAACTGGAGAACAGCCTTTACCAAAGGTGTCATGGGCTTTGAAAATATTCGAACTCAGGATGAAAGGGAGAAATGTGCTAAGAGGAAGGCACATTTGGCAAACCCTCACCATGATCAACTCCTGCCCAGAAACCTATGTCCCCACTGTGGAAGGATGTGTTGATCCAGAATTGACCTCCACAGTCACTTAGGACTCACTGTTAAGCCCGTGTTCATGGAAGACAATCTTACTCGGCTACGAGTGATCGCCAAAGCAGAAGTTGTGCTATACCTGCCTCAGAGCCAGTCTGTAAATACTGTATCAGTCAGTCTCAGATGCAAATTCATGTAAATATATTTCAGTAACGTAAGTATCACCTGCCTCTCTTGTACATTCAATCTGACAAGATTTACAGCAAGTAAAAGTCATGTTTTTTAAAAAAAACGTTAAAAGCATGTGTTGCATGGTTTTTCTAGGAGAAAAGAGAAATATTAAAAAGGGGTCAACTTCCGCACAACTCTGTAAAGTATAATTATCACAATAAACGCACCACAGTCTCTGCTGCCCCTCATTCCAAGGAAACAGAACCCCAGAGATCTCACTCTGCTCGGAGATTGGGGTGGCATGCAACAATATAGATGTAAATAAAACAATTTGTCACAAAGACATAAGCTTCCAGTGACCTCCCTTCCAAGGAAGCCAGAGTATGCATTGAGATTCCTGGGAATTCTGACCACTTGATGGCTGGGCTGCGTGTGACCAGATAACACATGCCCATTGAGTCTGCTTTGTACTCCTGCTCAGAGTATGCTTGAGGCAGCTGTCCCATTGCTCCCCCCATCATGCTGGTGGTTATGGTTGTCCAGGAAGTTATTTCATCTCGTAGTGTTAGCTTGAGACAGTTCACAGTTTGCCCTCTTTCTGCAAGATTGGCCCTTTATAAATTCTCAGCATCAGTGCAAGATTCAGCATCATAAAGGTGAAAGCTACAACACTCAGTGTTTGTTGCAGGCATTAGCCCAAAGATTCCTGTAACGACATCTCTATATAAGTGATAACCATGTTAGAAGTATCTGATGGTGACAAAATTTTCAGAATCAAAGGTATGGAGATAATTAGGACTCTGGTTAATCATTCTTCATTCCCCCCCCCTTCAATGAAATGAGATTCACACAGATTAATTACTACCTGCTATAAATAAACTCTGAGAATGGCAATCTGCATAGCAGAGGCAGAGGGTAACTGTCATTTAATATATCACAGCTTTTCATGCACCTGTTCTCTCTATGCTGTTACCATGGAAACCCCACTTTTATAAGAGAAGCCCTGGATAATTAGCATGGATCGAGGTCTATATCAATCAGAATAATTTGGAGGAATACAAGGAACCCAAAGGAGCAGGCAAAAACTACTTTGTCTCAGTGAGAAGATATCAGATCACTGCTGTGTAGTAAATCGCAGGAGAGCAGGAGGCCAAGAGGTCTGGTGGTAACAGACTTAATACAACCCCCCCTCCCCTGATTAAAAAAAAATAAAAACCATAAAAATAACCTTCCTTTGAAAATAGCAAGGCAGGATGGGTAACCACTTTGGGGCCAGATATCACATTGTTGGGGGCTGTATTCAAGTAGAGGGTGGAGCCAGACCCAACCATCAGTCAACACACAATCACACAAGGCTGTTTCCTATGGAAACAGAGGCATATCTTGAATTCTTAGTAAGGCCACTTAAGTTTCACCGATCATTTTCTTTACTTTCTTTTTACAAATGTTATAAAAATGCTGCTCAACACCTTATATCTTTCCTGATTGTGCAGAAGGCAAAAACAAAACCCTCCAGTAATTCCAACAGAATAATGCAGCAATACAACTTCCATCCCTGATCACTAGCTATCCTTGCTGGGACCAATGACAACATCTGGAAGGCCAAAGGTTCCCAATGCCTGATTTAAAGCAAACTTCAAAATGCAGTTGCATCCAGAAAATGGAATTCGTGCAGTTGCAAAATTTGTGGAATGCTTTTTGTATATTTGCAAGAATCAGAACTCTGTTGAGATTTTTCCTCCTCTGTTTTGAAGCTGATGGAAACTATGGATCTCCTCCCCCCGCAAATGTACATAAGCACATACACACACAATTTTGAATACAAATTATTTTACTGCATTGGATAAATCTATTCCCCCTTCCCCCACCAAGTTCATGGACCCTTTGAAAATTCAGTGCAATAAAAACATACAAACAACATAACACAGCAAACAAAAATGCCCTGTACACCAAATTTCGTCAAACCCTCCAAGTGTCCCTATTTTCCAGGGGTATCCCTGATTTAGAGAAGCCATCCCGGTTTCTGATTTTATCCTGGAATGTCCCACTTTTCCTTAGGATGTCCCTGTTTTCATTGGAGAAATGTTGGAGGGTATGGAGTTATCTGACCCCGGAGCCGTTTGAAGGCAATCCTGTATAGGGAAGTTTTTTTTTAATTAAATAATGTTTAATGTTTTATTATGCTTTTATATTTGTTGGAAGCTGCCCAGAGTAGCTGAGGCAACCCAGTAAGATGTTTGGGGTATAATAGTAAAATTATTATTATGGAATGGGATGTCCTTATTTTCATCGGCGTGTCAGGAGTGCGTGCAGGAGCCAGGCTCTGTGACCAGTAGGGCTTTGCAGGACTGGGGCTTTCCTAAGTTTGTTCTGAAGAGGCAAGGCACAGATGAGGCCGATTGGTAACTCACAGCACCTGGTGGAAAGAACTGGGAAGGGATATAAGGTCAGCATGTCCCTTTGGCTCTTTGCCACAGCAACACGCTTCTTGCCTTGCTGCGTTTGGCTTCTTGACTCCTTGCTTCCTGGTCCTTGGACCCTTTTGACTTCTTGACTCCTTGCTTCCTGACCCTTGGACCCTTGATTCTTGACTCCCGGCTCTCTGACCCCCGGACACTTGGCTTCCTGACTCCTGGCTTCCGGACTCCTATTCCTGCTCCCATCCCACTGTCTTGCCCTCAGTCCTGATGTCCTCAACCTCCTATAAACCAGACCATGACACGGAGAAATGTTGGAGGGTCTGTTTTGTGTGCATGTGTTTATGTACATTTTCCTGGGGAGGGAGTCCAGAGCTTTCATCAGATTCTCAAAGCCGTTTGTGAGCCTTCCCTTTCCCAAATCACGGATCTAATGTTGTTTAAAAGAAAAAGAGCTCAAGACACATTGTTACATTAGTTTCCAAAATACATATTTTCACTTGAACAGGGTGAGGAAGCCGTCTTTGACAGTGGATGTGGGGGCAGCAAAGTGCTAGAGGAACGGCGGCAAGATGTTGGAGGAGGAAGCCATGCAAGCCATGTAGCCTTGACTTTCACCTTCTAAGCCCAAGGGTCAACAACCTTTTGAGTGAGCCCCTTCTGCTCACTTCTCTCCCTGTCCCCCCAGATCAGCACACTCCCTCCCAATAAACAGACAGACAGACAGACAGACAGACACTTCACTTTATCAAAGAACCCAGCATGCCCTCCAACATTTCTCCAATGAAAACAGACATCCCATTCCATACCCTCTACCATTTCTCTGATGAAAATTGGGACGTCCAAAGGAAAAGCAAGGACACTCCAGGATCAAATCAGAAACCAGGACAGCTTCTGAAATCAGGGCTGGTCCTTGGAAAATACGGATGCTTGTGGTATCAATCTGAACCTGGGAAAGCACAAAAAGTTCAAAGAGGAATCAGGGGGGAAATGTCACTCTTCCAACTTCCTCCTTCAACTCTATACTTTGCAAGGGTGGCTCAGAGGTTTCATGGGTGCCAAGGTAAGATCTGAAGGGCACCAGTGTACCCGTGGGCACCATGTTGGCAATCTTTGCTCTAAGCTAAGTCTGCTGCCCTGGGTTATAGTGGAAGGTGCTGTTTTGACATCAGTGTGGAAGTGAGACAGAATCGCCATTCCAGCTGTCTTCTGTGGATGTCATGAAGAGGAGCTACGTTGTCCTTTATTTTGAGCAGTAAAATATTTTGGGCTGGCTCTGCATATAGCGTGACTTTTTGTGAAACGGAAAGGCAATCGCTAGTCGCTTTCCATGCCATCTACCTCCCTGAGATCTTCGTATGAAGGGCGGAATATAAATTTAATTAATAATAATAGTAATCTGAAAGGAATTCATTTTTTCTGCCTCCTTTCAGTTCAGTTTTAGACATAACTGTCATGTATGCATTCATGGTTTTTTTGACATATAAGCAGAAAATGAACACTTTCTCTCTTTGTAGCACCCTGAAAAATAACCAAACGGAGACACTTTTACGCATTGCATAGAGAAAAAAAACCCCAGAGCCTATAGGATACATGGGTTTGCTTGCATTTGCACTTTTCTTTTCAGATGGATACTTAAAACATCTTCTTTGCATCCCTAAAAATATGGTTTGCCAGTTTCCTTCTGAGAAACAGAAGACATGTTATTTTCCCCTGGTGCTAGTGAATAAAACCAAGAGCCACGTTTAGCATAGTATTGCATCCTTTGGGTGAGGAGGTGGGAAGAAACAGTTCTATAGCCTGGGGAATGAATGGCCTGGAGGTATTTGAGTGACCTATCCTATTATGAGCGAAAGCAGCTTGTGGAGAAGGAAAAGGAAGCTTAAGCCAGTGAAAATACACAATAATAGGTTTAACTGCATCACTGCTACCGGATAATTCCTTAGGCGAAATGTTTGTAACTGCGGTGTTCACAGCCAATCGAATCCAGAAATCTTGCAAGGGATTGAAAGGTTATCTAAATCCGGCTGACTGTTCTGAAGGCAAGGCCAATCAGCACAGATCAGCCTACGCAGGCCAGACTATAGCACGTCTCAGCTGTTGCCAAGGGACTGGAGCCCAAGAAAAGAATGGTTACCAGGGAATACCTTTAAATCCACCTCTAGTCTCCCAGGATCCTGAGGGACATGGGCGAATATTCCTTCTTTGCATCAAATACGACACATAGACAGCATAAGCAAAAGCCAGCCGCTGATATTTCCAAAGGAGGTGCATGTGTGAGAGAGCAAGACACACACACACACACACACACACACACACACACACACACACACTGTTCTATATCTTAAAAACATATATCTTTAATTGAAGCATTCTTTTGTGGAGCTGCAAAGGGTGCAGGGAACATGCCAAGACAATGCAAGGGACATCTGTGTGGATTCAGGAGGCAGAGGTGCAGCCAGGTAAGCAGTTCTGAAACTTCCTAACTGTACAATTTACCTGGAAAAAAACCCTTGGCTTATTTTAGATGCATCCAGGAGTGAGCTTAACCGATCTTGAAACACATCTCACAACTCAACACGGCAGTCATGTCAGAAGCTGCCATTCTTTCCTGCCAAATGTCTTCTCTGATGACGCTGACACTGTTGGGGCGCATTGTCAATAAAGCAGTGCACACCTGCTCACAGTAAGCCTCTTATCGGAGCCATGGTAATTATGCACCCCATGTTCACTTATAAAGTCAACATTTCTCCACTCTCCTCAACATAGTTAGGAAAAGTTCATGGTCTTAAAAGGAAAACCCCAAACGCCACTTTAGCACAACATGTGAAGGTGATCATTCTTCATACACCAGTTGGTAGCACTCAGCAAAACATACATGATTATGTTTTTATATTCTGTTGGAAGCCACCCAGAGTGGCTGGGGAAACCCAGCCAGATTGGCAACTTATAAATAATAAGAATAATAAAATTATTATTATTACGACTACTATTTTTTGATTCTCCATCCTGCCTTTCTTCCCCAAGGAGCTTAAGGTGGCAAACAGATAAGCAAATTAAATACAAAAAACCAAAGCATTTTAAAACAGTTTAAAACGTTCTAAAAACAATTATAAATTAAGAACATCTAAAAGCAGCTGCAGTTAAAAACATTTTTTCCGTCCAGTTCTTCCAAACACTCTTCCTTCTCAGGGTTGCCAGCAATACCCAAAATACAAAAACAGAAAACGACAAAAACAAAATAGAGTTACATCTTGTAATTACTAACAGAAGGTAATATGTTTAGGTAAGCATATTTGTAAGATCTATTGGCAACTTGGAGACGTTCCGTATACTTCATCATAATATCACAGTTTGTAATTAGTCTCTTTTCTATAATCTGAGGCAAAGCTTTGATAGATGTTGCTGCATATGTCCCTAATTTGTATGTGAGATAAAATCATGCCACGCAATTTACAAATCAAGTACTTAAGCTCTGTTTTGGCTGATGGATTCATTTTTCAAATGCTCAACGTGAAATATTGTTCCGCTTGATATCTTGCTATACCATTGCAAGAAGTGCAAGACCGATGTCCGGCAACCCATAGATTAAGGGCCAATGCTTTATTCATAATAAATCTAAACACAAACATTGATGGACAATTAAAGCAAGATAAAAGGATCCTAAAATAGAGATTTTCCAAGGGTGCACAACACTTAAAGACCTGGGACTTATCTTGTCATCTTGCTAGATTAACAATATTTCCTTCTACTAGTTTCAGGGCACATAATGCTTTATGGCACTGTTATGTATCCTCTGCTGCTGCTTCTTCTGATTCTTTTGCACCCGATCGAAATATGGCCATGATAACTGTTCCCAGTCGCCACTGTCAAGTTTCCAGTTCTGTAACAAAACAGTCCTTGGCTAGATATTTTAGTGCAGGTGCACTTGCTATTCAGTAGCAGGCAATGCAGGAACTGTGCCTTAGAAAGCAGAGTAAATCAATACCTGATAGTTAAAAAACTGTGTCACCGAGGAGGTCAGCAAGCAGAGCACGTGTACACTTGCCCCTTGACATTAGTCTTTGGGGAAACGGAGGAACATCCTTTTGGACTGCCAAAGGAACATCAGGATGCGTATACAGTAAGTAGTAAGAGAGTTCAACCAGATCAATGCTGAAGACAACCACATTTCTTTAATAGAAACATGGGGAGTTGCCTTACTCTGAATCAGAGCATCGATCCATCTAACTCAGTATTGTCTACACAGACTGGCAGGGGCTCTCCAGGGTCTCAAATCCAGCCTTGCCTGTCAATTCTTGCGAACGAACCTGGGATTTTCTGAATGCAAGCTATGTGCTACTACTGAGCTGGAGACTATCCCCAAATGACAGCGATGATGTGGAATAAGGGGTACTTTATATTTTAATAACTTTTGTTGTTGTTTTTTTCCAGCCAGAACTCACCAGAACTCAGTTCCAGCACCTCTCAGGTGGGCACCATTGTCATTCTAAGAGAACAAGGAAGCTTTTCATGGTGAGTTCCAGCGCCTTTTCCCCCTAGAGAGCCAGTGTGGTGTAGTGGTTAAGAGCGGTAGACTCGTGATCTGATGAACCAGGTTCGCTTCCCTGCTCCTCCACATGCAGCTGCTGGGTGACCTTGGGCCAGTCACACTTCTCTGAAGTCTCTCAGCCCCACTCACCTCACAGAGTGTTTGTTGTGGGGGAGGAAGGGAAAGGAGAATGTTAGCCGCTTTGAGACTCCCAAGGGTAGTGATAAAGCGGGATATCAAATCCAAACTCTTCTCTTCTCCTAGAAAAATAGCACTGTCTATACTGTTGCCCACCCTTCTCTGGCTTGCTGCCACCACATCCAAAAGCAGTCCACAAGGCTTCCGTGCCAAAGAATGATAAGAAGCATACGCGTCAACTAAGAAGCATAAGAGGAGTGGGCGGTGATGTCATGTGTGTGTGATGTCATACACATGTGCGGAGTGCCCTGAGTACCGGCTTCTCCAGTTGCTGCTGTTGAGGGAAGAGGCCCCAGCTCCTGCCATTGTTGTGACACACCCCACTCCCTACAGGCTGTGTGCGCTGTGCATGCCACAAGTTGCGTGCCACACGCACAACATCAGGAAGAGCCAAGGCCTCTTTCCCCGGCAGCTGCAGTGGCAGGAGGAGGAGAAGTCAGCCATGGAAGCTGTGGGTCCATGCTTGGCCTCCTCTGTCCCCTGAACATTGGGGGTGGGGTGGGGGTGGGGGCTCTGCCGCAGCCAAATAAATATTTGCCCCTCCCAAAGTCCTCTGACATAGTGCCCTGATAGGAAGTGTACTTTAAGGCTCCCTGTTGCTCCTTTGCAGCTGTGCCTGTGCCATATATGATGCCATGTGTGATAGTGAATTATTTGAGTAGGTTTGAACAATTTGGGGTAATTATAATGTTAAAAGTTAAATAAACCTTGTGGATGGAGGAGTGTTAAATGTACCGGTATATAAAATTGTACATATGGTTGATTTGAATATGTTATTATTGATTATGTATACCCAATGTATCAGCCGCCTGGGGGGTTTCACTGTTTGTGCTTTGTTTGTTGGTAAAAAATAAAAAAAATAAACTTTTGTTTAAAAAAAATGATGCCATGTGTGCGACAGGCTCACAGAGTTTGGAGGAAATGGCTTTGCAGACCAAACTGGGATCCATGCCAGGCCCAATGCCCTACCCCGGCTTTAGAGAGCTTCTGATAAAGTAGATCTGCAATAGTCAACATGTTACCCTCTAGATGTCGCTGGACTACAGCTTCCATCATCCCTGACCATTGGCTATTCCTGCTGTGGCTCATGGGAGTTGGAGTCCATCAACATACGGAGAACACCAGCTGTCCCTGAGGGAGGCAATACTGTGTTAAATGCACCAATACTTTGACTTGGTCTTAGGCAGCCTCATACCTTCCTGTACCACTTGCTGTTTAGGAGTACTTTTAATAGCGATTTCTTGCTGCCCCTTACATCCTGGAGCTGGCACCTTCTCTATGGTTTGGTAGTGTGTGTAATGGTGCCATCATTTCATTTCATTTCACTTTTGTGTACTGCCTTCCTCTATTACCACATGCAAGGCGGTTTATGAGCTAAAGAACCAACAAAATTGACAGCCAAGATCACACACCTAATAACAATCTGATGCAATACAAGTCACGATAAAAGCATAACTTTAAAATAAACACATCAAATAAAGCAATATTCAACGATCCATTAGAATATAACAGTAAACAGTAAAATTAAACATCGGCAAACAATAATTAAACAGTTCACACTTAACAATTACAATTAATAGTTACTAAACTATAATCAATCAAAATAACAGCCAGCCAAATGCACAAAATACCACAAAGCATACAAAAGGATCAAACTGAGAAACAAAGACACACAAGTTATAATTTATTTATTTTAAAAATACCCCTCTTCTCTCTTCTACTCTCTTCTCAGAAGTCATGGTCTGGGAAAGGCTCCCACGGCTGGAGGGTGGGCCAAGGCAGATGGAAAAAGCCACTGCGTGATGGTCAGCGAAGTCTCTCTACCCTCACAGTTCTTCATCTGAAAACATCTTTCTTATGAAGACGAAGGCTTGGGGAGCAGACATCTGGGACCTTACTCTACAGAAAGAACTGGAAAGCCCCAAAGCACAGAAGGGCTGGCTTATTACATTGGGGAATAAGTAAACTAATACACTCCTCTGAAAACCATCAGGTTCAGAGTCCAAAACTGGAACGCTGTGTGCATGTGTGATTGCCTTGAGGAACATGATCTTGTTATACCTACAGTTACCGAGGGAGGGAGTAGAATAAAGACCAGGACAACCTGAGTGTATCTTAAAGACAACTTCATTGAAAGGGCACAGACCTGCATGACATGTTGGGTCACTGCGTAACATGTTGCTATCAAGATCTATGCTCCATCATGATGCATCATGTAAAATGTAGGCATCTTCTTCTTCTTCTTTGGCGATCACTCGTAGCCGAGTAAGATTGTCTTCCAAAAACATGGTCTTAACAGTGAGTCCGTAAGTGACTGTGGAGGCCAATTCTGGATCCACACGTCCTTCTACAGTGGGGACATAGGTTTCCGGGCAGGAGCTGATCACGGTGAGGGTTTGCCAAGCATGCCTTCCTCTTAGCACGTTTCTCCCTTTTGTCCTGAGTTCAGGTATCTTCAAAGCTCATGACGCCTATGGTAAAGTCTGTTCTCCAAATGGAGTGCTCGCAGGCCAGTGTTTCCCAGTTGTCGGTGTTTATACTAGATTTATTTAGATTTGCCTTGAGAGAGTCTTTAAACCTCTTTTGCTGACCACCAGCATGACGCTTTCCATTTTGAAGTTCAGAATACAGTAGTTGTTTTGGAAGATGATAATCAGACATGTGCACAACATGGCCAGTCCAATGAAGTTGATGTTGAAGTTTAATACTTAGTTTAGTTGACTGCTCCTCAGCTAAGTGTTGGCATTCGCATGCATGTGTTTGTGCAAGAGAGACTTTGTTATACCCCAATTAAAACTCAGCCAGGATCCTGAACCACCCCTCAAGCTCCAAATATACTTACACCAAAGGCAGCTGAAGATATGGTTTAAACTACCCCAGAATCACAGGAATCATTGTCAGTTTAGAGATAAAAAGTTCAATCAAAAGCAGTTTTGTCTGTTGACATCATCAAAAGGGCTTTTGTTTGGAACAAGGTAAGCAGGACAAGAAGAAAATTATGCATTTTTTATTGCGGGAGAATCTGTGAGCATTACTGAGATTCCTCAGTTTATGTAGATTTAGCAATTAAGCAAATAAGTATCACTTTGATTTCATAATTACCTCTTGGAAATATCATTCCCATTCCAGGTGTTTTCTGTAACAACAGGAAAATTAGTTTCAATTAAGCAGGAGAAAATACAAGCTGAGTAAGAGTCTTCAAGAAATAAACCCCAACATTCATTTCTTGGAGGGTACTTGATTTAGATAATTAAATATCTGCCATGTGATTGGACCTTTCGGTGGAGAAGTGCACTTTAGAATGACATTTAAGATTAAAATGTCTAGAGGCAAATATTGAAAATGTTAAAAGGGAAAAGATAGACTTTACTAAGCAGACTTCTACTAAGACAGGCTTTACTAATTTTCTTTAGACTTTTTTGTTGGAATATGTTTGTAATGTTGGAAAAGATAATACACTTTTAAGTTTGATTCTCCCAAATGAAGTGTGCCCATCCCTTATTTTATTTTATTTTATTTTATTTTACTTTATTTCCTTTCATTTCATTTTCTTATACCCTTTAACCTAGAAGTTCCCAGAGTGGTACACAGCATTTAATTAAAATAAAACATGCAGAGGATTGGGAAAAAAAAGCATTCCAGTAAAATACATGTCCAAACATAGAGACCCCTGTAATGAAAGAAAGCAATTCAGTAGCAAGGACTGCAGTTCTTTCTTCAACTCAATCACCCCAATAAACCCACTGAAAAGGTTGTGTCTTAAGTTGCTGCTGTCACACTGTCAGTGCAGAGGACAATCCTAAATCTGATGGGAGGGCGTTCCACATCCGAGCTGCCCTAAGACTGAAAGATCTGTCTTCCATGTTGTTGAAAAGTGAACCACAGATCCCTTGCAGATCTTAAAACATGGCATAGCAGACTCTCCAAGTGTCCCTGTTTTCCAGGGACAGTCCCGGTTTTACAGAAGCCGTCCCGGTTTCTGACTTGATCCCGAATGTCCCACTTTTCCTTAGGATGTCCCTATTTTCATCGCAGAAATGTTGGAGGGTGTGGTAGGGCATCCCTATTTACATCAGAGAAATTGTACAGTATGGAGTTATATGACCTCAGAGCCCAGGAGATGAGTAACTATACAACCTTTAGAAGACATCTGAAGGCAGCCGTGTATAGAGAAGTTTTTTTTAATGTTTAATGTTTTATTATGTTTTTATATACGTTGGAAGTTGCCCAGAGTGACTGGGGGAACCCAGTCAAATGGGTGGGATATAAATAATAACATTATTATTATTATTATTATTATTATTATTATTATTATTATTAAATAGGCCTTCCCTATTTTCATCACAGAAAGGTTGGAGGGTATGATATAAGAAGTATTTTTGTTACAGCCTCCCCCTCCCCCAATCCCTGCTGACTCGTGCACAGGATTCCAGGGATCTTTGGAGAATTTAGACACGGAGGAGGCTGTCGCAGCTTTAAGAAATATGATTTATACCTTCAGTTTGCATGGAGAGAATACAAATCTTGCAGCATGGTCATGTCAATAGGGGCTGGTTCCCCACAGCAGTGCATCACTGGAGTCCAAGGCATCTCTCCCAGCCTACCTTTAGCCAGCCTGCCCAAGACAGATCCGGCCTTTTTTGATGTCAAGGGCCCAAAGCGCTTCCTGTGACATCACACTCAGCTACCCTGGCAACCTTCCCAATCTCCAGTCTCTCTTCACACTTCAGAGGATGGGGGAAGGACAGTTCAACTTGCATTGTGAATGGCTCCTGATGGCCCTGTATGCTTTCTTCATGGCCTTGAGCTTGGCCAGGTCATTTTGTATAGACTAGCCCAGGATTTCCTCTGCCGCTTGTTTATCGCCTTCATATCCCCCAAAATCAAAATCTTTTGAATAATGATTGTAAAATATTGTCTAAAATGTATAAATTGCTGCAGGAATGGCATTTGAAAGATGAAGAGATAAAGTCGGTTATGATACATTGGGCCAAGGATTTTGGGTATAATATACAGCTAAAAGAGTGGGAAAAACTGTGGAAGGAAGGATAAAAATTTACAGTATGCAATACTTTGAAAGAAAATGTGATGAAAATGATGTATAGATGGTATATTACACCAGTGAAATTAGCTAAAATAAGTAACAAATGTTGGAAATGTAAAGAAAAAGAAGGATCTTTTTATCACATGTGGTGGGAATGCAAGAAAGTGAAAAGCTGGGAAATGATATATAATGAGATGAAAAAGATGTTGAAATATACATTTATAAAAAAACCAGAAGCATTTTTACTTGGCATTGTAGGGGAGGATATTAACAAACAGGATAGTAAATTGTTTTACATGCAATAACGGCAGCAAGAATATTACTGGCACAGAAATGGAAACAAGAAGAATTACTGACGAAAGAAGAAAGTCAGACGAAATTAATGCAGAATTAGATATGATGACAGGAAGTATCCGAAACCTGCGGGACCAGAGATTCTCAGAGGACTGGAGTAAATATTTGAATTATTTGAAAAGCAATTGTAACAAACAGATTATGCTAGTAGGACTGCAAGAAGTTTTGTAAGGAGGATTATGCGAAATATTGCAGAGAAGATTATGAAGAGAGCCATTAGTTAAGGATAATTCAAAGTAATAGAAAAATTAAGAAATGTAGATTGAAAAATCTTTAGATGAGGTTGATGGAAGTCCAAAATATTGTATAAGATAAGAGAGTATGTTATATGATTTTGGGAAATTATTTGTAAAAATCAATAAAAATATTATATTTTTAAAAAATCAAAATCCTATCATTTATTAATTTCTAGGGTTTGCAGGGGAGGGTCCCACTCCCGAAACCTATAACAACTTGGTTCCCAGGCAGGACCTCCTTAAGACATTTTGCTGTCTGCAATGAAATGAAGCACAACTCTGTGGGGACGGTAGTGCATCAATTTATCTCACCCTTTCCCATAGGTCTGGCTGTAGCTCAGTGGTTGAGCATCTGCCTTGTAGGCAGAAGCTCCCAAGTTCAGTTCCTGGCACCCCCAGGTAAAACTGAGGATGTCTCATGCCTTAGTAGCATACGTGTACGCTACTACGGCCGCTCAGATGTTGCTTGCCCAGAGATGGAAGGAAGAGACAACCTCGACTAAAGAGGAATGGCAAATCAAGATGATGGACTATGCCGAAATGGCAAAGTTAACTGGGAAGCTCAGGGACCAAGATGACAATAAATTTAAAAAAGAATGGGAAATGTTTAAAGGTATATACAAAAATATTGTAAACAGGTCAAAACATTAGCAGGATTCTAAATACACTTGTAACAAAATAGAAAGTATGGCTAATTTAGGAAGACGAAATAATTGGAGAAATATTGATATGCAGTTAAAATAGAATTAAGAGGACTCATGGATGGGATGGGGGGAACTCAGTAAGATTCAGGGTAATCTCAATATGTGGAATTGTAAGATTTTTTTGATGTAAGTTTATTTTTTCTTGTGTTATTTTCTTTTTTTCTTTTTCTTTATTTTTGGAAATTCTATTATTATTATTATTAAAAAGAATGTCTCATGCCTGAAATCCTGGAAAGCCACTGCATTTTTCCTTTCTTTCCTTTTTGCATCACAGCCCCCTTTGTAAATCGGGTGAAAGCTATGACTCCCATCCCAGAAAAATGTACATAAACAAATGCACACACAATTCTATATACAATTTATTTTATTACATTGGAAAAATCTGTGTGTGTGTGTGTGTGTGAGTGAGACCCCCCTAAAGCCCATCTATGGACCACAGCTTAAGAACTACTGAGCTAGATGATCCCAAGGGAGTGACTCAATACAGTGGTACCTCGGGTTAAGTACTTAATTCGTTCTGGAGGTCCATTCTTAACCTGAAACTGTTCTTAACCTGAAGCACTACTTTAGCTAATGGGGCCTCCCACTGCTGCCACCGCGCGAATTCTGTTTTCATCCTGAAGCAAAGTTCTTAACCCGAGTTACTATTTCTGGGTGAACGGAGTCTGTAACCTGAAGCGTCTGTAACCTGAAGCGTCTGTAACCCGAGGTACCACTATATAAGGCAGCTTCCTATGGTCCTATGAGGGAAGGAACTCTAGTACAGAAACGCTCTGTAGGAAACGCCCAATGGTGTTCTATCTCCTCTCTTGGAGGCAGTCTGCCTCTGAATACCAGCTGCCAGGAATCACAAGCGAGGAGAGTGCTGCTCTGTGGTCATGTTTGGCTGGATGCTCTTCAAAGGTTTCCAGTTGGCCACTCTGATGGCGACCAAGTTATTTCTTAGGTTCTCATCACAAAGGAGGACAGAAGCTGAAGACAGAGACTCTGCTAATGTAGGAAGAGGTTTCGAAGGAAGCGATGTTTGTGGGTCAATAATTAGGATGTGCTCTGACTACTCTGAATTCTCCTAAAACACCCGAGCTTATATATCTACATAATGCCAATTCATGCGATTTTAACATTTCCCCCCATATAATTCTTTCTTTGTGAGAGACAAAAGGCTATTTTTGTTAAAAACTTGATACTCGACAACCTCTCTTTCTCCTGCACTGATGGAGACAAATCATAATGCCTTGTTATTTGTGATATTTCCATGGCGACAAACTAGTGCCCAAAGCATTGGACTGTGACTTCAGTGAGGGATTAAGGAGTCATTCAATGCTAATTAAATATGCCCATGGTCAACCAGAATGAAAGGTACTCATATAAAAAGACAATTAATCTTAGTGAACATTTATATTTGTTTGTTCGTATTTGCATAAATGAAAAGCTTTCATTTCAATGGGATTTTTAATTGTGTCAGATCTGATGAATTAGGCTGAAGCTTACAAGCCTTAGAAAACATCTTAGTGAAAAAGCAATAGGCTAATAGCATATTATGAGCCAATAAGGACAATGGCTATAGTATACGTATTCCTAATATGATGCATATACTTTTATAAGCAGTTTCCATTTGTTCAGTGAGACTATGGGCTGTCCATACTGTTTACTGTGTGCTTGCAGCTGTTTGCATTCCCATTTAATTCATGTGGTCCTCAAGGAACACAAATATTGACACTTCTGTAAATCTGGGTATATCTGATACAGGGATAATCCAAAAATCTGGGAAAATTCGGCCCCAAATCACTCCACTAGGGGTCACAGAAGATTTCTTTTGCTGTTTGGGTGTGGAAGGATCATTGGTCACTTTCTGTTACACCTCTTTCCATGCCCAATACTTTCTCAATGCTTCAATTTATTTTCTAGTTGAGCTTATAACTATTTCCTGTGCACTTCCGAATGCATACCCTCCAACATTTCTCTGAAGAAAATAGGGACGTCCCATTCCATAATGATCATTTTACTATTTATACCCCACACGTCTTACTGGGTTGCCCCAGCCACTCTGGGCGGCTTCCAACATATATAAAAACAGAATAAAACATCAAACATTTTTTTCAAAACCCTCCCTATACAGGATTGCCTTCAGACAGCTTGGGGTTCGGATAACTCCATACCCTCCAAGGAATCTGGAATCACACAATAAAGACAGCAAACGAGAGTATCTGAGTGAGCTAAGTGAATAGAAGTGTTTTTAATTGCCAACAGTAACACATCACTGAGGGTTCCTGCTGGATTTCTGAGGGAAGACTATACAGGCACCACTGAACATAATGTTGTTCTCCTGTTTGATGACAGATGGATCAGAGCAGGCTTTGGCACCACTAGGCCTTTGCGCACACACAGAATACATTTTTAAAAATCACACGTCTTTCTCAAAGAATCCTGGGAACTGTGGTTTATTAAGGGTGCTTGGAGCAGCAGCTCTATGGGAGTAAACTACAATTCCCAGGATTCTTTGGGGGGGGGAATTGTAGCTTAAATGTATGGTGTGCATACAGCCTAGGACAGGATCCTCTGGAGTCATGGGCCAGTTCATATGGGGGAAGGCTTTCTCTCCCATAACTGGCATTAGACTTCCTAAGATGTTCAGGGAGAGAGAGAGAGAGAAGCAAAGGAGGAAAAGAGATGAAGGAAACAGACAGAGGCATAGCTGTCAACCTTCCCTTATTTGGCGGGAAATTCCCTTATTCCAGTGCCGTTTCCCGCTGCTATCCCGGATTGTAAATTTTCCGTAAATTTCCCGGATTTCAAAGGAAGCAGCTCCTCTCCCTCCCTGCTGGCCAGGGAGGCTCCTCAGCTGCGTTGCTTGGCTGCGTTGCTCACCAATAAGGAGTCTGAGAACGACTGGGGGGGTGGAGCTTGCATGCCTTGTGCCAATCAAATTGGCCGCGTTGCCTGGGGACACACCTTTGCTTCAGCGCTTCCCAGCGGTGTGGTGGCTTCCTTGCTGCTGTATCCCTTTGCCGGGTTGCTGCGCTGTGGGAACCACCGCTTGAGGCTTCGTTTGGCTGCTGGCTGGGCTTTCGGCCTTTGGCTCGGAGGGGCTCGGAACGTACCTGTGCTTGGAATCAGGTGGATACATCGATGCCCCACTCACCCTTGCCAGGGATAAGGTCTGTCTGGAGCGGGGGCACATGGGGGAAAGAGAAGGAGCGGCTGGTTGAGTACAATGGCGGGCGGCGATTTCGTGGGAGGGGGGGCTTTTGGATTTGTTTTGGAGGCTCCTTCAATTGACTATTATGGGGGAAAGGAAAGGAGCTGGTTAACTAAAATGGCGGGCAGCGATCTCATGGCGAGGGGGGGGGGAGGCTGCCACCGCCTCGTGTGTGTGTGGCTAGTTAATGCAAGCTGAGGGTTTTTTTGAACGCTGGACACTGTTTTGTTGCACGTGCTGCTGCAAAGCCAGCCCGGGGAGCCATCTTAAGTTGAGGCTGCATAGGCCTTGTGGTGCATGTGATTCAGATTCTATTCAGTTGACCCTCTGGTTACAAAGCTGAACCGTAGACTGTCCCTGGGACAGGTGAGGCTGCTGATCCCTTATTTTGGCTGCTGATCCCTTATTTGCGAGGCTTGTTGTTGTTGTTGTTTAGTCGTTTAGTTGTGTCCGACTCTTCATGACCCCATGGACCAGAGCACGCCAGGCACTCCTGTCTTCCACTGCCTCCCGCAGTTTGGTCAAACTCACGCTGGTTGCTCCAAGAACACTATCCAACCATCTTGTCCTCTGTCGTCCCCTTCTCCTTGTGCCCTCCATCTTTCCCAACATCAGGGTCTTTTCCAGGCAGTCTTCTCTTCTCATGAGGTGGCCAAAGTATTGGAGCCTCAGCTTCAGGATCTGTCCTTCCAGTGAGCACTCAGGGCTGATTTCCTTACTGATCCCTTATTTTCAAATCTGAAAGTGGACAGCTATGGACAGGGGACAGGAGTTTATAACATGCAAACATTCCAGTGTTTCAAATTTTAGCCAGTCTTTCAAATTTTAGCTAGTCTTCCAGGTAGGAACAAGCTACAAAAATGGGCTTTGAAAAGGAAGAGTTTTGTATCCCCTGCCCCTCTGTTTGATGAAACCATGCTGATTCTCAGAGAGAACGACGGCAACAAACCAGCCAGAATTAATAGATGCACATAGGCTCTGCGCAGATGCCACGGTTCCTCCACATTCGCATGCTTACCGTTTCTGCTATTGATTTGCTGATCCAAATGAGTATTTTGAAACTCTGTGGGAGTTTTCCAATTAGTTAAGAGGCAATTCTTGTCACCCTGCTGCAACGCTAACAGCTATAGCTCAGAGAACACGCCGAGGACTTCTTAGCGGAACAACCTAGTTTAATCAAGGCCGGCCTCCTTCAGAGCAGCCTCATCTGTGGGACATTTTCTCTTAATATGCAATGCTTCCTTTATTAGAAGTGTAGAATAATAGACCACCGCAGCCAGCGAACAGCAGTGACAGAGCTTTGCAGGTCGACAAGGTGGTTTGTGGGGAAGATGCATGAGCTCGCCTGCCGTAGGCTGCTTCTTAAATTAAGGAGCAGGGGCTGAGCCCCGGCAGTTCAGCGCCTTGCTCCCATCAAAGCTGCCACCTGAGTGACCCCTTCTCAAAGGAGAACAAAGTGTCTCCGCAGAATGTGACAGCTGCCAGAGGAACGCTG